GAATCCTTCATAACCTCAGTACACACCCTGGCTGAGCACTGCCAGTTTGGTGCACTCCGCGACGAACTAATAAGAGACAGGATAGTTGTAGGGATCTTGGACGGAAAGTTATCTGAGCGCTTACAACTAGATCCAAATTTAGACCTGGCCAAAGCGATCACGTGTGCACGTCAAAGTGAGACTGTGAAGAAACAGCAGTCAGTGCTGCATGGCAAAAACACTGAACACAACATAGACAGTATCAGGTACAAAGGAAAGGGGTTGACACCTCAAGGAGCCAAGGAAAAATTTCCCAGGACAGAGAAGCCACCTCAGTACAAGCGGGACAGCCCCAGTGCAGAGAGAGAGTGCAGGTGGTGTGGCCGAACACAGCGCCACCAATGGAAGGACTGTCCAGCGAGGGACGTAATCTGCAGGAAATGTGGTAAAGAAGGCCACTACGCTGCAGTTTACCGGTCCTCGACAGCAGTCCACACTGTCACTCAGCAGAGGTGGCAGGAAGACAGTGAGGAGGAGCATGAGTTCTTGGGGTCAGTGACAGTCAGTACATGCTCGTTGACAGAGTGGACAGAAACACTTTTAATCTTTTAATGGAGAACCTGTCACGTTCAAACTGGACACTGGCGCGGCTGTGACTGCCATTCCCACTGAGGTGTTCAAACCCGGGCGTGACGGACCTCTTACAAGACCCAGAAAAGTCTTATATGGCCCTGGAAACAACGTCCTGGAGGTCCAAGGCTGCTTTCAGGGCACACTGTCAGCAAAAGGTCACGGTGCAACACAGGAGGTGTTTGTGGTAACAGGACTTTCAAAACCCTTACTTGGCTTACCTGCAATTGAAGCTTTGCACCTGATACACAGACTTGAGGAAGTGAGGGATGCTCAAGAGGACTTTAAGGCTTCATACCCGACGGTGTTCCATGGATTGGGATGTCTCAGGGAGAACTACACTATTGAGCTGGAGAGGAACGCCACTCCATATGCCCTCTCTACGCCACGGCGAGTTCCACTCCCCCTACGAGGTGCGGTCCGTGAGGAGCTTGACCGCATGGAAGCGATGGGAGTCGTCTCAAAAGTCACACAGCCTACGGACTGGTGTGCAGGAATGGTCGTCGTCCCGAAGACGAACGGGAAGATAAGGATCTGTGTTGACCTCACTCACCTCAATAAAGGGGTGAAACGAGAGCGGCACATCCTACCATCCGTCGATCAGACTCTGGCGCAACTGTCGGGAGCAAAGGTATTTTCAAAGCTTGATGCACGATCGGGGTTCTGGCAAATACCTCTGGCTAGGGAGTCAGCCCTGCTCACAACTTTCATAACTCCCTATGGCAGGTACTGCTTTAACAGGCTCCCTTTCGGAATCTCGTCAGCTCCCGAACATTTCCAGCGCCGGATGTCCCAGATGTTGGAGTCACAGGATGGTGTGCTCTGCCACGCTGATGACATTCTAGTTTTTGGAAGAAACGAAGAAGAGCACAACGCACGCTTACGTCAGGTACTACAAAAGTTGAAAGAGGAGGGACTGACACTCAACGAGAAGTGTGAGTTTGGCCGGGACAGTATGATTTTCGTCGGCCACAAAGTCACGGCTACGGGGATAGAGCCGGACCCCGGAAAAGTGAAGGCAATAATGGACATGCCCGAGCCCCAAAATGTAGCCGATGTGCGCAGGCTACTGGGGATGGCTAACTATTTGATGAAATTTATTCCCCAACTTGCAACAATCACCACACCACTAAAAGACCTTCTAGGGGACAGGAATGAGTGGTGTTGGGGAACAAGTCAGGTCAAGGCATTTCAGCATTTGAAGCTAGCATTAAGCTCTCCACAAGTCTTGGCACAGTACTCACCTACAGCGGAGACAAGAGTTGCAGCCGATGCATCCTCTTATGGCATTGGAGCTGTTCTCACACAGAAACAAGCAGATGAGAAATGGAGACCCATAATATACATCTCCAGGAGCTTAACCAACACTGAAAAACGGTATGCTCAAATAGAAAAGGAGGCTTTGGCCGCCACATGGGCGTGCGAGCGACTCTACTCTTACCTCCTTGGGTTACGGTTCACACTCATAACCGACCACAAACCATTACTGCCACTACTTGGCTCCCGAGGCCTTGATGAACTTCCACCACGGATACTACGGTTCCGCCTGAGACTACTCCGATTCAGCTATGAGATCTTGCACGTCCCGGGGAAGTCTCTTATCACGGCTGACACACTTTCACGAGCACCAATCAATGACACCCCTACAGCCACAGAACGTCAGCTGGAGAAGGATGTCGTGCCCATTAACAGCTGTGCTGGAGAGTACCCATGTTCCAAGGATGTCGTGCATCGCTGTCATTAAGGCAAAAGGGATCCATTTTGAAAAATCTGAAATATAATTTTTGTTTATTCAGGACATTTTTGTTTGCTGCATAAATCCATGCAGTCATTTTGGTTGTTTTGTTTTCTGTAATGTAAGATGTTAAAGATCCATTGTGTTGCTATGCACTCAGGTCTGTTGTGCAACCAAATCGACGAGTGTGTGACCCAGCCCTGCCAGAATGGCGGGACGTGTAGCACTGACCACACTGGCAAGTTCTCCTGCAACTGCCGCCACACTGGCTATAAGGGTGACAAGTGCAGTGAGGACATCGACGAGTGCGACCTCGGTGAGGACTGAGCTCTGTGGAGTCCCGTGACTCGTCTCTACCGTAGTCCACCCACGTCCACCTCTCTCAGTCTCCAACACTGTCCTTCTATAATCCAACCATTTACATCACCAAGGCTCTCCAGACTCATCCACCCATCTCCAAGCCTCTAGACCAGTATTTCCCATCCCAGCCTTTGGGGTCCCACAAATGATCCACATTTTTGCTCCCTACCAGGACATGGGAGGGAGCAAAAACGTGGACTGTCTGTGGGACCCCCAGGACCGGATTGGGAAACATTGCTCTGGACCAGGGTTCCCCAGTACCGGTGCTGCAAGCCCAGAATCCAACACAGCTTGCAGATTTCCCTGCTCAATACATCATAAATCAGACAATTACCAGATTTAGTAGGTATGCTTAAAAAGGGAAATCTGAAACTGTGTTGGACAGAATTTGGGGAACCTTGCTGTAAGCCCATCTGAGTTTCTAGACCTTTCTTATATGTCTCCACTGACTTACAATCCCCTGTGCCTTCCTCTGTTTTTATATGTTTTAAAATGCCCTTCTCTGCTCTCCACGTCCTCTTCCGCACTTGTATACCTTTTTCCGTCTTCGCTGATGGATGGCTCTGTCTGCGCGTGTCCAGGCGAGAACCCCTGTGAACGCAATGGCAGCTGTCGAAACACAGTTGGCTCCTACATCTGCGAATGCCAAAAGGGCTACGGGGGCCCACGCTGCAATAAGGGCCTGGATCACTGTGCCTCTTCGCCTTGCCTTAATGGTGCCACCTGCCTGGGCCTGAGCGGCAGTTTCCAATGCCTCTGCATGCCAGGTGCGCTGCCCCTCCGCCACACCCTCGCTACATTGCTGCCCGCTGCCGACTTGGGTGGATTTACATGCTCGACTCCCTCATTTCCCCTTTGTCAGGGTTCACGGGCGAGCTCTGCCAGCAGGATGACGGAAGCCAGGACCAGGTCAACGGCAGCAACTGCCCCCCAGGTCAGCCAATGGGTGCTTCTGTTCTTACAGTCACATGACACATTCATTTGACCTGGCAATGAATTTGTGCTGCAGAATCAGCTCATAATAATGTACTGGAATGTGAAACTATGTTGTTTATTGCTGTACTAGTGTGTGTGTGTGTGTGTGTGTGTGTGTGTGATGTACTGGACTGCCTCCCATCGAGTGTATCACTGCCATTGTCGTTAGGGTTGCTGATTAAGCAACTTAGCTGATGAAGCAACTTAGCTGATTAAGCAACTTAGCTGATTGTTCAAAGCATAGATAAGGACACAAATGGCAAACTGATGGAAAAAGCCTTATAAAGCTTAAGACTGTATCCCCCTCCATCGCATGCCAGGGGGGTCCTGCGAGTTCATGGATGATCCCTGTTCATCGAACCCCTGCCACAATGGGGGCATCTGCTCCAGGAACTCCAGCGCAATGCACGGCTTCACCTGCACATGCAAACGCGTAAGCAGCCCCCGCCCGACCCCCAACCCAATTATTGTAGCGTGGCACATACTGCTAATTGGGTTCAATTCAGTTTTGCTTAATTGAAATGGATGTATGTTGGCATTGGTAGGTATAGTACAGTGTACCAACTCCTATCGTGAAATAATACGTTTCCGAGCTTCAAAAACGTTGTGCTTACGTTATATGTACAGACAGTCCCCAAGTTAAGAATGTCTGACATATGGACAACTTGTGCTTACGAACGGACTACCAGAAAGCCAATTTTATTAAGAATTCGGGTTAAATACAGTGGTTCATAATAATGAATACACTCACTACTTTGTAACGCATGTGGAAACATTGCAAGGCTTCATCAGTCCGTCGGCTCGAGGTACAGTACAGTACTGTATGTGGCTGCTTTTATTATTACTGTATTATTATTATTGATATTGGATGGGGAGGGGTTTCTGAATACATACCTTTCCCCTTAAAACCCCCCCCCCCATATTTTTGCCCAGTGATGTGCAAACCACTAGCAGAAGTCATCACGCATTTCAGACACTTGATAGACTTTATAGACACAAGATTCTGAATGTTCTCTTTTATCATTTTTATTATCATTCATACCATATACTGTACTTTCCCGTGGCAGCTCTTGTACGGTGCGCAGCAGGCACTAGGCAGGGCGGCACTGCTAGCTGTACGTCTGCCGAAATTAATTTTTACATACATTTACTCAGTTTTAAAAAAGTGATGTTTATATGTGTGTTATGTCATATCCTGCACGTGACCCGTCTCCCCCCAAACGTGGCCCTAATGAGCCACACCTGTTACTTATTACCTCTCGTTAGTCCCTGTTTGCCTCGTCAGCCGCAGCCTGGTCATTAATGTCAGCCCCCCCGTTGCCTGTGCCTTTCCTAGTGCTACTTTTCCTGTTTTGACCCCTCACAGTCCCGCTTGTTTCCCTGTTCCTGTCTTGTTCAGTTCAGTAAAGCCCCTTTTGTTCTCCTGAGACCTGCCCTGGAGTCCTTCGTCCCTCATAATATGACAAGTGGTGATAAGTCGCATAGCTCCTAAGTCAGGGGGAATCTGTGTAAGATGCTGGATCAGGTCTGCTTGCCTGTGTTAAGGTTGTTCCAGCTCGTATTGTGGTGAAAGCCCCAGGTGCGTCTGCCTGTACTGACAGTTGCATCCCTCCACAGGGTTACTTGGCTCCCGACTGCGGCCAGGTGGATGGTACGATGTCTCCGGGCAGCGATGAGAATGGCCACGTGCCAGAACGGAAGGCTTGGCATGGCTGCCCCGCCGAGTTGCGTTGCTGGGAGCGGTTTAACAATAAAAAATGCGACAACGAATGCAACACTGCCGCATGCCTGTTCGACAACTTCGATTGCAAGCCTAAGAGCTCCTGCAGGTGCGCCGACGCCCGTGGCCCCACTGCCTGTTAGCTTAGCCGATTAGCTTAGCATTAGCATCATTTAACAACTGAACAGTAGCTTAGCATCAGTATGTTTTGATGAATTCAGCAAAGAAACTTGCCAGACACTCGGTGAACTTCAGTTTCTGCAGATGCTGATATTCAGTGACCCTGTTCTTATGTGGGATCATACTCTATATGCTGATGACTTACACAAATCTGACCATCTTCATTTATATAGCATTGTTTTAACTGGTTTACAAAGTAATGTACAGACATTTACAGAAATGGAAAGGAATTAAAATCCATATTCTCCGAAACAAATCAAGAAAACAATTGATTATAATACATGCATAAAATAATAAAATAACTGATTGTTTTTATCACATTGTGGGGAAACCTGATCCCCACGTCGTAATAATTACAAAAACGCAGAGATTCTTACGCAGAAGGTGTGGGCCACCAAACCACATGCTTTTTTTTATTCATTTCAAAGATATGAAGAGATATTAGTTGTCTCCTAATTATATACAGTACAGGGTCTTTGCTTAGCGGCTTATAAATAATTGACACCATCATCCCCCACCCGCTATAGTTACAACATCTACTGCACTGATCACTATGGCGACGGCTTCTGCGATAATGGCTGCAACACAGCGGACTGTGGTTGGGACGGCCTGGACTGCACTGGTGGCAGCGGGCCGCGGCTGGCTGGCGGAACCCTGGTGCTGGAGCTGCAGGTGCCGCCAGAGGAGCTGCGGAAGCGTTTGCGGGGCCTCCTGCGACAGCTGGGCCTGATCCTGCACACCAACCTGCGCGTGCAGCATGACGATGACGGCGTCGGACTACGGGTGCTGCCGATCTACGGCCCTAGAGCTCAGGGGAAGGGGGCTAATGGGTAACGTCTGTCACGTGACCCTTATCGCGTCACGTCAAACTTCAGTGCCGTTTTGAAATATGCGGGCGTACAATGAGATGAAATGAGTCCATGAAAATGGTTTAACACATAAGACACCAGATCAGTGGTTCTCAACCTTTTTTTTGACCCCCCCTGTACACAGGAAAACATGTTTGCCCCCCCACTACACAGGTTATAATATTGTTCTATCGTATTAATATAAACATATTTTAATTTGGCTACACTGCCAAAAATGTCATTTTTGCAAGCAAAAAAATGTGTTAATTGATACATTAAATGTAATTGGGCTACAAAAATAGCTCAGTTTTTGCTCCGCTGCATCTCTTTTTCTGTACTTCCATGTAACTTGTGGTCAATCACCAAGCTCTGGCTGCAAGCGGCTCCCCAGTTCAAACAAGAAGTACCTAGTCTGGAATAGGGACTAAAAAAGGGTTTCGGAACTGGTTCTAAGGAACTACATTTGGGCCCTGCGGTGTGAACGCAACAAAAGACCCTGGTTCCGGAAAAAGGCTCTAGTTCCAGAACAAAGTTCAGGCAGTGTTAAAGTCCCTATTGTTATACTCCCTGTACTGGATACCATTGCAAGATTAATGGATATAGTTATGTATTCAGTTGGGCAATAATTTCATTAACATAAAAAAACATAGCTTATAGTATCCTTAATGACTGTGCCCCCTAGTGGCTCTTGACTGCCATGCCATTGACTGGCCCCTCTTCTCCCCCATCACACAGTTCCAAGGTGTTCCTGGAGATCGATAACCGCCAATGTGCCACCAAGGCCGACAGCAGATGTTTTTCCACCGCCGAGCAGGCTGCCGCGTTCCTCACCGCGGTACACTGGGAACCGCCACTGGACTTACCGCTGCTGTCCTTCAGGAGTGCGTCTCACGCCGCACGCCGCTCCCCGCTTCCTCTGCCGCGTGTCGTGACGTCTTGCTAACGTGCCGATTCCTCCGTCTTTTCCTGCAGGCGAGCCGGAGATCAAGGCACTGGAACACACCAATATGCTCTACCTGATTGCCTTGGTAGTGGGGCCAGTCCTGTTCATCCTGGTGGTGCTTGTTGCCAAGCAGAAGCGTAAACACACCACTCTGTGGCTTCCTGAGGGGTTCCTGATCAACAACCAACGGCGTCGTGAGCCTGTGGGTCAGGACAACATGGACCTGGAGTGAGTACCAGCACAACACACCTGACACAGTATGGGGAAAGAAGCACCTCCCCACAGTCAATGCTTATCTTAGCAGAGATACACTGTCGTTTTATCCAATAACAGGAGGGTTTAATTAAGAACAAATCTGTCACAAAAACGTGATCCTCCGTTCTGCTACGGGTCCAACCAACCGCCAATTTTTGGTACTAGGATGGTGTGACCTTCAGACCTGACATAAACCCTCTACTAAACACATGAGCAGTTGACACCTGAGGCTGAACACCTAGTCCACACATTTGGCGATGTCCTCATCACCTCGGTGTATGTACCTTAAAACGGTTCCGGAACAAAACGGTCCGTTCCCTGGAAAACCCCTTGAGCACAATGCAGGTACAGTAAGGCTGTTGCTGAGACTCGGCCCCGTAGGCTAGTTCAGCTGTGCTCGTGCTCTTTGTTGCAAAACTGAAAGTCATATACACGCATCTTCCCATAAACTGATGTATTCCGAGACCGGAGAGGCTTGGCAAAGTCCAAGTCGTGCTGTTCTGGAGGAGTGGAGCGTTGGTTTCCTCCGCAGGACACACCTTGCCGTCTGTGACCCATTATCCAACGTAGGATGGGCGTGGAAGGATGGGGAGGGGCGGGACTTTGCGTTCCTTCGTTGCTGATCCTGGGGCTGTATTCCTTCTTCTGATCTGATTGTTCCTCCTGGTTCTCTTCATCCAGAGACATAAAGCCTGGAGGATCCAGCCCGATGAGCACAGACCTGAACCAGCGGTGGGTCCACGAGGAAACACAAGTCAAAAAGATAAAGGTGAGAAGATGAGAGGCGAGAGCTGAAATGAGAGGCCCCTCTGCTCTGCCTCGATACGCTTCACTCAACATCCTGTGCCTTTGACCCCAGGTAGAGGACGTCTCCCTGCTGCTGGCTGAGGAGGGCGCGCCGGGGCCTGACCTCCGAGAATGGGCCCCCCAGCACCACAGGGCGGCTGACCTCACACTCACGCCCCCCCAGGCTGAGATGGACAGCCTGGACGTGAATATCCGAGGCCCTGGTACCACAAATCCATTGGCTTGTGTTGCTGTTGATTTCCATTAACATTGAGTATGCAAATGCAGCGCAGCCTAACCTGTCACCTGGCATAGTGACCGTTCTTAAGATCAAAAATCTATATATAACACTGTAGTGCCAGTCAAACGTTTGGATACACCTACCCGTAGAAAGGTTCATTTCTACTGTTCTCTGCGTTTTAGAATAATTATAAAAACATCAAAACTATAACATAACATGTATGGAATTACACACAGAACAAAACAACAAAATAGTATTAAACAAAAAAATAATTTGTTGGGGCAGGGGCTCCGTGGGTTGGGATGCAGGAGGTTGCCGGTTCAAATCCCTGGGTTGGCAGTTTGATCCCACCATTGGGCCTTTGAACAAGACCATTAACCCCAATTTCTCCATGGACCGGCTGACCCTACAGTCTCCTCTACTCCAGTTCCATGAGGTGGCCTCCTGGGATGCTCTGCCAGCTGTCCTGAAGGAGGTCCCTCATATGCTGAGCTCTCATTGGCTGCTTTTCCTTCACTCTCCGGTCAAATTCCCCCAAAACCATTTCTACTGTGTTTAGGTCAGCTGGCCAAGTCATGTGATGCGACACTATTACTCTATTTTGTAGGTGGATTGGCGTGTCCAAACTTTTGACTGATACTGTGTAAATCGCTCCAGGCAGCAGGCACTATTTGTGTGCCTTAGGCTGGGTTTTATATGATGTTGATATGCTGGTTATATGCTGTATAAATGTTATCCATTTCATGGAGTGTACATGCTTTGTGTAAATCCTGGCTATGAGAGATGGACAGTTCAGGTCCAAAAAAAAACCCAGACCAAGATTTTGTCTCAACCAACCAATTGAGCACTTTGTGACTGTGACTCTATACTTAACTGGCTTTTTACTTTCTGGACCTGAACTATGCACCTCATCTGGCTATAGGCACTGGTGACGTTTCTCCATTTTTTCCCCCCCAAAAGTTTTTCCACGTTTTCCATTTTGTTGAGATGATGAAAAGTACACCCCTACACACGCAATGCCATCGTAAAGCCCTGTCCATCCTCTATAAGGAACAACAGGGCTTATTAGAGTAGCATAGTATGGGAGATATGAGCAAAAACATTATGTCCTTTACAGAGGACAAAGAGTACTTGCTGGATCTGAGGGGGTTCTGTGTTATATGTATATTTACAGTGTATTTCCTACATACTGGTTTTAGCCACTTGCTAAGTGGCATTACTGGTAACATGCTGGATTTAGCCATTGGCTAATTGTTGCTAAGCAAAGTCAGGGCCCTTTGTTACTGACCCATGATGATAGAAGGCAGGCTTTGAGAAACCGACTGATTTGCAATCTTCCCGTTGGCCCACGTTTCCCACAGATGGTCTCACGCCGCTGATGCTGGCCTCGGTGTGTCATGGGGGGATGGTGGACAGTGAGAACCTGCCGGAGGAGGCCGAGGGGGAGGAGGAGGAGGAGGAGCAGGAGGCGAGGCCCAACATCATCACGGACTTGGTGGCCCTGGGCGCCACACTGCAGGCGCAGACGGACGGCCTGGGCGAGACGGCGCTGCACCTGGCCGCCCGCTACGCCCGCGCCGACGCCACCAAGCGGCTGCTGGACGCCGGCGCGGATGCCAACGCTCAGGACCGCATGGGCCGCACGCCACTCCACGCCGCCGTGGCTGCCGACGCGCAGGGCGTCTTCCAGGTGCCCGTCTCCGTTCTGAAGGACCCCTGACATGGCACCCCCCCCCATCCCGCGTCAGCTCCACATTTTTCGTACGCCTTCGGTTCACTGTCATCCACAGTGACCAGCCCTTCATACTTCCTGCTTTATCACTTCCTGAATTTTGGAAATTCTTGATTTCAACCAAATTTTGATTAACTTGTTATGAAAACATGCACCACACACTCTGGCCTGGATGTGCTCCCCTGCTCCCCTATTTCAGACTAAACCCCCCCCCAACCCAATCGCATACAGATCCTGATTCGGAACCGGGCTACGGACCTGAACGCACGCATGGATGATGGCACCACGCCCCTCATCCTGGCGGCACGACTGGCCGTGGAGGGCATGGTGGAACAGCTGGCGCACTGTCACGCTGACGTCAACGCCGTGGACGCCCATGGTGAGGCCCCCCCCAGCGGCAGACGGAGCAGTCAGGCCACTGTGTTGCTATTACTGCTACTGCTTATACTATTACTACACTCTCAGAAAAAAATGTACCAATTTGTACCTTTCAAGGTACAATAACTTGTCACTGGGGCTGTACCCTCAAGGGTCTGCCAATTGTACACTACCTGTAGATAAATGTGCCCTTAAAGGTACAAAATGTCTGAGGAACATTTTTGTACCATTGGGGGTACATTAATGTACTGTACCAGAATATACCAGAATAGTACCCTATTTTTCTGACAGTGTATTAATATTATTATTATTATTATTATTATTGTTGTTGTTGTTTGTTTTGTTCAGCTGCTTATTATGGGCTACAATAGTTCATAAAGGTATACCTTTGGCAAGAGTCATAAAGGGCTGAAAACAAGCAGTGTGTTGGGACGTATTGCATGTGACCTTCACAGCGAGTCACCAGGGTTATACACGTCTGGGGGGTGTTTCATCCAGTAGTGCTGCTATATTTTATCAGCGAACACTGTCTGCACCGTGGATACTTTTGCTCCAGGTAGTTAAGCAGTAGAGAAATCAGCCGTCTGCATAAGATTTGGGAATAAAATGACTTAAAGCAGAGCTCTGGCATAGCCTAGAGTTTGATGGCTGAAAAACTGGCCCTAAGTATTTTCCACTTAATGAAACTGAAGTTAAATGCAGAGTCATCGTTAAGCATACTCTTAGCAGGTGTGGCAATTGAAATTGGCGCTATCGTCATATTTTTATATGGTGTTGTCTAAATCATGTGAATAACTTGTTAGTGAGAAAGTTGGTCTACTCCAGTACGGTCTTACCTCTGAAGAACCAGGTTATCATTTCCATGCAGATTCAATTGCAAATGCTATTACCAAAAGAGAATTATATACATTAGATAGTAGTGAAGGCCAAATGAATGTCAATATTGCCATCTATTGCGGACAAAAATACAGCAAATGGTTCATGAAGCTTCATGTAGTCGTCACTATTAGACAAGGTACCACAGTATTAATCCAATCATATAACAGATGTGATTATATGAATAACAGAAGATTTGAGATCTCAGAATCACAGCCTTTGATTGTCATACATATCCTGTATTGAGCTCTGTATGCTTAGACAGGACCAGAACACATTTTAAAATGGCTTTACTGCTAACCAATAAATTCATATTCTGCCGCAGAGAGCATCAGTTGTGAGTGAAGGGACATTGAAGAACATTTTGGCCATTTTCCAAATATTTCAAGAGTTTTGAAATATGGCATTTTTGGTATGACCTAAAATTATCAATATAAATCCGGCTACCAAACTCCATCTGCGTAATACCGGTTCACTGATGATCACATTTGGCTTGTGATGTACATCACATTGGAACTCAGGTACCTCTCAAGCCCTCAGACTGAACATATTTGTCACAAAGTTTAAGCTTCGCAATCCCCCTCCCCCTCCCCACCCCTTTTTCTCCCAGGCAAGTCAGCTCTCCACTGGGCAGCAGCAGTGAACAACGTGGAGGCTGTCCTCATACTGGTGAAAAATGGTGCCAATCGAGACCTGCAGGACCTGAAGGTCAGTCCAGGCCTGTGCTTATGGGTCATGCTACAGCAGTCAGACTCTGAAAGGTGATGAGAGAAGCTGCGCTGAATCCAGACTCATTGACGGTTTAATCAAAATTGTGGAATCGGCCAAAATGAAACAGGACAGGAGACTCTTCTTAAGCCTGTCCCTAAAGAACAGTAGTGTTGTAGTTAGCATTCAAAGAAAAATAAGACTACCTACAGCAAGTCAATGCAGGAGTGTGTTTTCAGTTCTTCTTTATAGTATTTAATCCTCTCTGACGTCAGTTCTGGTTTTCCATAACCCTTCGATGAACCTCGACACCTGGTTCTTGTAACGGACAGTCCCTTATATTTTTAACACGCCAGACAGGCTTCTAGAACATAAATGTTTTTCAAAAGACGAATGGAAGAAAGCTTTTGATAATGAGGCACTATGCGAAAACCGCAGTCATGGGATTCCCCCGTCCCTATTTCACAGTCAATCAGCACGTATCCACTTTTGATGTGGTAATTGTTTATTTATGATAACCCTTTCCAAGAGATAATCCTATCCCGGGTTTGAGAAGCAGCTGGCGTCTCACAAAATCGACAGGGTTTGCGGGAAACCGTGGTTATATTAAGAATCTGTTTCCCAAGTCTTTTGTTCTCTGATCAGGAGAAGACGCCCTTGTTCCTGGCGGCCCGGGAGGGCAGCTTCGATGCGGCCCGTGTGCTGTTGGACCACTGCTGCAGCAGGGACATCACGGACCACCTGGATCAGCTGCCCCGCGACGTGGCGCGCGAGCGCATGCACCACGACATCGTGCAGCTGCTCGACCACTACAACCTGGCCCCAGGTGCCGAGCGGCCGGTGGGACGCGGCTTGGCCCCTGCCCCAACGGTCTGTGGTGGCGGCGCGCAGGGCAAGAAGGGCAGGCGGGTCGGCAACAGCAGAACGGTGGGGGAGGAGATGAAGACCAAGCACAGAAAGAAGCCATGTTCGGGGGCAGGAGTATCCCTAGCGGTGGCAAGAAGAGCAGGAGCTCATTGCCCCGCAGTGGCAGAGAGGGCAACTGGGGGTAGCTCTCCCGTCAATTGCCTGGAGTCCCCACACACTGTGACCAGGGTCACAGCCACCTCGCCGTTGTTGGTAACCACGCCCCCTGTGCACATGCCCCTCCTACCTCCTGTCACTCACATGCTGGGGCAGCAGCAGCAGGCTTGGAAAGAGCAGACCAAGCCCAACTTCCAGCCACACATGTGCAGGCTGCTCGGGGGTCAGCTGGATACTCCCTGTCCAGAGCAGTACTCCTCCATGGACGTCCCTCTGGCCCGTGAGCCGCTGCTGCCGATCTTGGCCTTTCAGTTGCCTCGGGGGAGCACCGGCAGTCTGCTGGATCAGGGGCGGGCCGAGGCTTTGTCCCGCCCCCAGCCGGGGGCTCCCCGTGCCTGTTTTGCACAGGGCCAGACATTCCCGCAGTCTGTCATGATGGGAGTACCTCAGCCTCTTCCACACCCCCTCCCCTTTAGCGACGGCCCTGGCGAAGCCCCCGCCCCTCGACCCCAACACGAGAGCCCCGTGGACAAGTACCCCACTCCTCCCTCTCAGCGGAGCTACACCACAACCGGCCTGGAGGGGTCCACGCCCGCCCCACATCCCCCCCATCCCACCAAGCACCCTTATCTCACACCCTCTCCAGAATCCCCTGACCCCTGGTCCTCCTCTTCCTCGCCCTCTCCTCACTCGGCTTCTGACTGGTCTGATGTCACCAACAGCCCCGTTCCCCGCCACGCCAACGCACTCCGGGGGGGGGCCCTGCCAGCCCGGCAGCCACACCCCCAGGAGTATTCCTGCAGCAGCATGCAGGGACACCCTTAGACAAACCGTCTCCTCTCGTCCCTCCTCTGCCTCCGTCTGCTTTCCAGCCACATTCCCCACAAACCCTAATCCCCCCCCCCATTAACCACTTTGCCTTGTTGTTACGTTCCTTGCTTCCCGCTACCTCTGCTTCCTCCCTCCTTTTTGCGTGTCAGGTCATAATATACACAAGTATTGAAGTGTCCATGCACCAGAAGCTGTGCTTTAGTGTTGCTCAGTTCCACAAGCTACATAACCACTAAATAAAGCACTAAATGAGCTCATTGCTTTTAAAATGGCCAAGTATCAATGTAATTTCTGACCGGCACGTGATTAGTTGAGGCCTAGTTTTGATGAAAAGCTATGGGGTTTTCCCTAATGATCATCCCTTACTTGCAGAGTAAATAAAAAGAGCTAATAGGGTAAGCTGAAATGATTAAGAAAAATGTTTCCTCAAAGAAGAACAAGAGACCTTTCCACTGGGTGGACCTTCAAAGTTATGAAAATAAAGAAGTCATATGACAAAGGCAGTTTGGATCCCGATACGGTTTGCTTGGTAGTCTTTTTTGGGAACATAGTTGCGAATGTTAATTTTAGAATCTAACTGAATGTCAGTATTAGTGGATCTGAGGTTGCTGTCATGTGATTTCAAAATATATTTTTGCATTGTAATTAATATTTTAACTTTGCATAGGTACTTTTTTGTATTTTGTGGATCTGTAAATATCAGGCGGTGTATTTCCTATAATATTGTTGAGCAAGTTGTAAATATGCCCTCCAGTTTGTAAGTACTTGTGATGGCCAAAAGAAGCCTCATGAACCATTTGCTGTATTTTTTACTCCACTAGATGGTGCTCTTGGGTTACTTTAGAACAGGGGTGGCTAATCTTATCCGCAAAGGGCCGGTGTGTATGTTCAAACCCAGGTGTGAGGACTCTTCAGCCAATCAGTCCTCTAATTATTAATCTAATTAGGGAGTTGCAGCGAAAACCCGCATACACACCGGCCCTTTGCGGACAAGATTGGCCACCCCTGCTTTAGAACATGCTTTGAGGCCTTTTTTTGAACAGACACCTCTGTCTAGTGGGGTCAGAAAATACAGCAAGTGGTTCATTAAGTTTCATTTGGCCAGCAAGTACTAAATTTATTTCTGAATGAAACTGTGACATTGTGATATAAGTGAGTATGAAACTGAGTGGGTGGCACTGGAGATAGGACACACTTTTTTAACCGCAGTTATATAAACTGTATATACTAATATTGCTCTGTTTCATTGCCTAATGGACTATGTTGTCTAAAATACATTTCAGCCAAAAAAAAACAAAAAAAAACTTAGGAATAAAGAACAATCACCTTTGACTGCATATAGAGCACCTAAATATGAATAAACATTTAATTGTTTTCAAACTGTCCTGTGTTTTGCATGACGTAGATTCATTATCTGGACAGGGTCCAGGCACAGACTGGCCATGTGGAAGTTTATTAAATTTCCTGATTGGCTGGTCTAATGAGGGCTGGTCGACTAAAAAATGCAAAATATCAAATTGGAGCCGCTTTGACATAAAATTCCCAGGCTGTTTTTGCTACCAATCTGCCCCTGGCACGGTCAAAGGAAGCATGAAGTCTCTCCCAGTCAGCATGACAGGGGTACATCCTGGACAGATTGTGCAGAATGCATACATAAATGCACTATGGGCAACTTAAAGATACCGATTAGTCTGGCAGCTTCAGCATAACACAAGCAGGACCTGCAGACTGCATACACAGAGCAAAGGCAGGACCAAAAATCTCATCCCTGGAGGTTTGAGCCAATATGGCTACCCACAGAACCACAGTACTGTCCTGTGGCGTGACAAAAAAGTACAATTAACTTAATGGAAACCGGATGAAGAAAATAAACCCCTGGAAAATGGATGGGGGGGACCTATTGATAACCGAAGTAGAAACCAATGCAATGGCGTCAACAGAAAATTTTGATTGGGGTGGCCATCAGGGGGCAATTGTATTTTTGGGGGTGGCCTCTCCACATTGTATCTATTCTATGGTTGCACTTTTATTAATTTGATGTGGGGTGGTCAAATATTTACTTGGGTTGTCAACTTTGGTCAGCTGGCTGGCACAAGATTTTTAGTCTGGACACTCATTTACATGTATGTGACAGTTTTATTACCTTGTAAGTATCTACAATTTGCAAACTACCCCAACTCTTTTGATGTAGCCAATTTTAGGTTTATAATGGAATGCTATAGATTTTCTGGAAGATTTCTTGCGTGAGCGTGAGTCATAAAGCTCGAGTCAAGCGATATGCGTGAGAGTTGGCAACCTGCTATTGTAAGATACGTTTTTGTATTTATTTCGTGTTATCGACACTTAAGTCTACGAGGTGTCTAATATCTAAGGGAGATGCGACATTTATCAATTGCGCCACAGGCAGTTCTTACCATTTCTGCCAATTTAGCTAACGTGCCCATCGTTCCTACTGCGTGGCAAACTGCTTCTATTTAAAGAAAAAATAATAATAATAATTATATTTATATATATATATATATATATATATATATATATATATATATATATATATATATATATACACACACACACACACAAACACACACACACAAACACACCCATCCAGCAGAGGGCGCTAACAAAACTGCACGGTCACCGAAAAGAGAGGAAAATTAGAAGAGAAGCGAAGAAGACACAAGGAACTTGGAGGGATTGTGTTGCGTCAAGCAACGATGAATCAGAAGCTGCGCGAATACGGTTGAAAAATGAAGCTGACAGTTCCAGGAGGGTGTCAGGAACGCCTTTGATGTTTGGCAGAAGATATAGAGGTCGTGCCTGACTAGCGAGCTACTTTTGTGCGTCGATAACCCACCGGTGGTCATCCAGGTATCTCCGACCGCAGATCGGTAAAAAAAAAAACAAGTTGTACTAGTTAGACCTGTTCTGTCATGCACCGATTAAAGTACATACTTAGGTAACGTGATCGAAAAGCCGGCATATTACGATTGAAGCGTGGTTTAGGCGTTTGGGTTGTAAGTTATCGCTGTGTGGTGCTATTATGGATGATTGAATGTGGATTTCAGCGTTTGCAAGAGGGCTGCCCTTCTGCTTGCGCTGCCTGCAGGAAAAATTTGCCTATAACTCATATCTCGTAGCACATGTTTGCGCTGAGTGCTGTCCAAACTAACTTTACTAGCCTTAGGTAAATGTCTTGCCCAGCGTGGTGAGTTAAGAAGAAGCTGTAGTATACAATTATGTGTTTTGTCTTCCCGAACAAATACCAGTAACTGGAAGCAGCACATACTGGGGAGGGGTCCTCTCAGATTTTAATTTCCACAAAACATCTGGAATCATTTTAACGAAACTGAGATCTTTTTTTTAAAAAAATATCGGCTTATTTGTCAATGCAGATTGCTTTCCTTTTATGGCTGTAAGTGAGGTGAGTTACTGTTTTTACTTTCCACGCAGCACTTGCTTATTCCGCGCAGGTTTCTGACTAATCTTGCATATATTTTGTGTTTTTTAGTATTGATTATGGGTATACCACTTGGCTGGACACTGACTGACTGACCACGTGTCCAATGGCCATAAGCCGCACGCTTGTCATTGGCGCTATTTGCTTTATTTCCCTTTGTCGTTCCAGCTCATCCTTTCCTTTGTTTTAGTACTAGAAAAAAACAGAAGTAATGGAAATGTTGTGGCGCGTTAACTCCAGTAATAGGCTCTTAGGCGCACGCAGGAGCATGTTACAGTATCACTGTTCTATTGTTCGGTTATTAAATTGTCATTTTTTATTAATCCACTGGACCTCTCAGCGGGCATCTTTTTGTAAATTACTGTTCAGTTTTAGCTTTCCCATCACCTTATTTTTTTTTTCTAAAATAACTGAAATAATCGTATTGATAAATGACTCCTAAACCGAAAGGCTGATTAGCACTGAATTTTAAAAATTAAAATACATTAATGACCTGTTGGTTCAATCATAAGGCTACATATGTGTGACACACACAGTCACTGCTTGTGAGTTTTAAAAGTAATTATTTAATCGTACGAACCTGACCGATGTGAAATGATTTCATTTCCTGGAGGAAATATTCTACTGAATTTATTTTTCTTATTAAAATAGCAATTAAATTAATATAACGACTCTGCTGGACTCAAGACTCAAAGCAGAGACACTCTACCTTAACCACATCACTATGTCCCACAGTACTAATGTCGTGCTTACCTTCAGTCTTTGTGAGAGAGAGACTGTTAGTGCATCTGTACTGTTTCTAGACATAGACTGTCCTGTCAGCTCTCAGAGCAGAGCACCTCTGTGTCGTCACACAGGAAGTAGCAAACCCTTGCCTCTGGTGAAGGTTTAGTGTTAATGATCAGTTACTTAATGGTGCACACCTCATAAGTGTTTCATATGTCATTACTGCCTTCCTCCTAGGTGTTCCTCCGGCTAATTATTGAAACTAGAACAGGTTTGGTCAGTTGGTCGAGTCATTTAAGACATTAAGTTGAAAATCCTATTTTCACTTTAAGTGTGTGTGTGTGTGTGTGTGTGTATATATATATGTATATGTATATGTATATGTATGTATGTGGCAGCAAGGTGCTTCAGTCGGTAGCGCTGTTGCTTCCACCCCTGCTGGGGATGAAGTTTTTGGTCTCGCCTTCTTGTCTGCTTGTCTTTTTGTATGACAGGGTTTTTTTTCCCCACCTCTACCCCTGTGGAGATTCTCAAGCAGGATGATGTGCAGATGGGCCTATTGAGTTACAAACCTGTTGCCCTTCTTTTATGTATGTGTGTATACATTCTATCTGTTGCCAGTTAGGTCAGCTGGTCGGTATTTGTGCATATGTCCCGTCCTGGAGGCCCCAAGCCTTACAGCCAGTGCTGCCTAAGGTTCCGGCTCCAACCCCCAGCGACCATATGTTGCAAAAGTGGTTGTTCTAGTTACATTGCTGTCGGACAGCCCATTTGAGCAGTTTCTGGGACTCTGAGCAGAGAATTGTACCTTGGGGTGAGTCTCGAGCTCGCTGTCCTCTGCCTCGGTGGACCTGTGCGTTGCATATGTGTGCCTCTGTGTAACTTTTGGCTTTTCTGCATTCCGTATTAGCATGCCTGCTTTCAGCAAGCTTATCCTCCTCAACCCGCTTGAATCGAACTGCAACTTTATTTGCCACAAATGCAAGTGTAGTTGAAATACATTGGAATTGTTGCATTTTAAACCTTGACTTGCTCAGTCCATGGTTTAAAGCCAACAAACTAGATTGTGACATTTCAAAAGATGCATTCAGGAATGCTATAATATTAAATAAATGTATGGGGGGGGGGGGGGAAGCAAACTTTTCAAGCTGTTCGTGTGCTGGGTCGATGTCACGGTATGTGAGTGGTTTTTTTCTTAGGGATGGCTTATGTGGAGAAAGCAGGGGTTGTTTGTGGGGGTGCGGAGGGGGCTCTTTGACGGACAACGAGTGGGATTGTGTGGCTTCTGAACCACCGGCTGGGCTCCACAAGGGGCCCAGTGTGTCCAGCAAACCTCTCCATCCCCTTCGCATTCATCCGCCCTGTGGGCGTTCGACCCTTTTCCCCCCCTTTGGGTTTCCTTGCTTCACTCCTTTTGTATAGTGAACGCCGTCACTGTGCAAGATGAATGTTGCGTGACAAGGTGCGTGTTTGGCAAGTTTGGCATGTTTCTCCGGTAGGATGAGTTCCCGGTAGGAGCAAATATGTGGACCGTCAGGCGATCCCCAAGGACTGGATTGGGAAACGCTGTTTTACAGGATGTAATTCAGATTCACTGTAGGATCTTCTGCTTGATGCTCCTTCTGACCGCAGTGTCTCCTTTCAGCATCCCGACTCTGTGACGTCCGAGGACCCCTTCCCTGCTGCAGTGAAGCCCCGCTGTCCAGCGATGGCGTCACCTCAGCTGAAGTACCTGTCCTTGGGGGTGCTGGTGCTGCAGACCACCTCACTGGTGCTGACCATGCGCTACTCACGCACTCTGCCTGGCGACGGACCACGATACCTGGCCTCCTCAGCTGTGGTGATTGCTGAACTGCTCAAGATACTCACCTGTGTCCTACTCGTCTTCAAGGACCACAGTGAGTTGCATGTGTGGTTCAGCTGCTTGATTGTTTGATTGCTCACTAGAATACTATACATACAAGCACGAAGAACCGCCTTTGATAAATTCAGGTTCTCGTCAGGTTCAGGTTCTCGTCACATTGCTGTACCAGGCTGAAGCCAGTCAGTCTTCACTTTTAAGTAGTGAGGGGCTTGTCTGATGAGGGAGATGGGAGTTGATGCTCCAGAATGCTGTGAAGGAATTTTATTTGGCTTATTTTCTAGTTAGTTTGTACGTGTTTTTTTTATTTTGAATTTTATTTTCAGTGCTAATCCATTTTGTATGTGGGTCAACGTTCTATTGCTGCATCTCAAATGATGTGACACAAACTATTGTTAACCTATGAATAGCAAGGAATCATCAGCCTTGCCTGGTGCAGCATTGACCACATTTCCTCATGTTTATGTCTCAGGTTACAGCGTCAGGGCGCTGAATAGCGTGCTCACAGAAGAGATCTTGAAGAAGCGCATGGAGACACTGAAGTTGGCCATCCCTTCAGGCATCTACACCTTGCAGAACAACCTGCTATATGTCGCTCTATCCAACCTGGATGCAGCCACCTACCAGGTATGAAGGCGTGAGGCACAATACAGCACAAGGAACCTCACCCGTGTGTATCAGTCATCGTTTGTGGGAGGGTGTGTCTGCTTATAGGCGTTCCCCAGGCCAGTGGACATTTCTCCCCTGTCTTTTGATATGAGTGTAGGTGTTCATTCTCTGTTCTCTCCCCCCCCCCGTCTTCTCCAGGTGACGTACCAGCTGAAAATCCTAACCACAGCCCTGTTCTCTGTCTCCATGCTGGGCCGCCGGCTGAGTGTATACCAGTGGCTCTCGCTGCTCATCCTCATGGCTGGGGTGGCACTCGTGCAGGTCCGTACTGGTTCGGCAGCTTCTGCAATCCCTCCATTCCCTGCTCGCCGGTGACTGCAGTGTCTCGTGTCCGCCTGTAGTGGCCCTCGGAGTCCTCGGCCCCTGATCAGAAGCAGCTGTCCGCCGGCTCCCAGCTAGCGGGGGTCGTGTCCGTACTGGTTGCCTGCTTCTCCAGTGGCTTTGCGGGCGTCTACTTCGAGAAGATCCTGAAAGAGAGCAAGCAGAGCGTCTGGGTCCGCAACATCCAGCTGGGTTCGTCTGATTGCGCATTTCTCTGGCCTTGCATTTCATCACGCCTGCTGCCCTCGCTTGTCGTATCATTCATGCCTGTCTGCCTTCGTCTCTGTGTTTGCGTCTGGGTTTTGTCTCTGTCTGCCTGTTTATCTTGCATCTCCCTCTCTGCATTGTCCCCCACTGTTGTGTTTTGTGGCTTATTTCCATCAATTTGTATTGTTTTTCATTGCTTTCTGTGTTCCTTTTAACACCCTGCAGTGCAGTTATGTTCAATAGACTTATGGTTATGTGCGAAACAGGCTTCTAGTCAGTTACTGTGCATTAAGGAAGCTTATTTAGTTATACTGGACCACTGTCATTTAGCACTTGAGTAGTTTGTATCCAAATGCCTGCTTCTTGACACACGTGCACGCACACACACATGTGCACACACAGTCCACATATTCATATCTTTATGGGGACACTCCATTCATTTCTAACTCTAATCCTAATCCCAACTATGAGGACTTTAACCAAGTAAATATAGGACTTTTGGCTATTTTTTTGTTTTGGTTTTTTTTTTGATGGCATTCGCAGATTTTTATAGAACTGAGGTTATCCATTACTTGAGTTGTGAGGGAGCATCAGTTACGGCGTTATGGCCATGTGGCGCGTTTCCCTGAGCGTGATCCGGCTCACAGGATCCTCACTGCTGAGGACCCGAGCGGCTGGACCAGGCCAAGGGGACGCCCACGTAACCCCAGCAGCTAGACCGTCATTTGCGGAGGGTGGGACTGGACTGCGTGTCGGCCTCGGGGGGGTCGCCAACTGGCGTCCCAAGGTTTTTTGTTGTGTGGTGGGTGCAGCAACTCACTCTAACAGTGCGTGCTCCCCAACCTGACCTGACCGGTCCTTGTGGGGACCAATAAAGTGCAGGTTTTTATCACATTGTGCAGAAATCTGGTCCCCACGATGTAATAATTACAAAAACACACACACGCACTGTTCTCCTCCTTAACTCAGACTGTGATTAACAGCATAGTATCTTTCCCTTCAGGGTTGTTTGGTTTGGTGTTTGGACTGATGGGGATGTTTGTTTACGATGGCGAGAGGGTGAAGGAGTCTGGAATGTTCCAGGGCTACAACAAGATCACCTGGATGGTCGTTGCACTGCAGGTGAGTGACGTTTGTGTCTGGCTGCAGATATCGCTCTCCTTCTCACATATTTGCTTACAGAAGCCCTATCAGGTTCTCCCAACCTGAAGGTTAAACTACAAAGTGGTTTTACTGGCTTTGCCAGCTCTCTTGAGGCTTACATCTGAGATTTGCATACTACACATTGTAGCTTAGTTTTAGATGGCTATTTTGTGGTGATAATTTACGCCGTATGCCTAACCTGCTCTGGGCAGGTTTAAATGCGGGCTTTCAAGTTAAAATGAGTGCAAGACCCACCCTTTCTCCAAAAACACATTCAAACCACCCTTTCACCAAAATGTAGCTCATATAACAGCCTTCCTTTGACTAAGTAACTGGAATGGGTGATAGCACCATTTTTTTCCTTTTTTTTAAAAAATCTGATACAAATTAAATGAAATGAAGTTTTTTATATCAATACTTAGTGCCAGTCCATTGTGGCCCTTTGCCAGGGGTAGATTAAACTTGCCAAGGGGAGGGGTGCTTGACGATTAACTGTGCCTGGTGGGGTGGGTATTGTTTACCTCTTATCTATCAAAGGGTAGCTCTTAGTTTGCATCGTTAGATTTCCATGCAGATACGCCGCCTTTCATGCCAATGCGTACAGACAAACCAGTAAGTCTATTTACCGAGTTTATGATCACCGTCATGGTACCATATGACGCTGATTACAGTGTTAACTCTAGGTAGGAAAAACCTTGCTTGGTAAGACCCCACTTGAGGTGGAGGTGTGTGAAATGCCTTTCTCTCCCTCTCCTCCCCAAGGCTCTAGGGGGGCTGGTAATTGCTGCTGTTATCAAGTATGCAGACAACATCCTGAAGGGCTTCGCCACGTCACTCTCCATCATCCTGTCCACTGTCATTTCATACTTCTGGTTGGAGGACTTTGATCCTACCAGGTAAACATACACGTGCGCGCAGGTAGAGGTACGCAGAAAACCACTGAGTTAAGAATGACTGACTTATGGGCAACTCGCACTTACAGACTGACTGCCAGAAAGCCTATTATATAAAAAATTTAGGTTCAATTCGGGGTTCATAATAATAAACGCACGCATGACTTTGTGATGCTGGTGAAAACATTGAACGGCTTCAGTGGTTCGTAGATTCAAGGTACAGTATGGTTCTGTATGCAGATACTTTTATTACTGTATTATTATTCCTAACCGACCTCAAATTTGCCTTAGACAGACTTTAGTGGAGGGAGTGGATTCCATTCACGACCTGGGGACTGCCCGTACTGACTGCGATTTCCAAATAGGTCGTTTGTTTTTCTGCTCATATTTAGTTAATGCTATCAGAATGGGGGGGGTGGTTCAGTTCATGAACCAATCTTTGGTGTACACGTGCTGTAACAAGTAGTGGTTTGCCCTCTGACTCGCTAAATCAATATCTAACATGACTGGAGGGGCAACTCCCTGTGACACTCCTGACATCCCGGAGTTTATGAACGGCAGGAACATTGTTCAGGCATCGATTCTCACCTGCCAGCTCCTTAATGCAAACAGGATCTGAATCAAGGATCCTGTCACAAGCTGTACAATATAGCTCCATACCTGGGTTGCGAAATGAATGTGAAATTAATTTCTGGAAAGGTTTACTCTGTTAATCATGAACTTGTGTACCTTGTAGTGTGCGTTTTTTCTCTTGTTTTTTTTTTTTTTTCTTCCTAGAAAGTTACTGTACGGCTAATGTTCTTTGAAGGAGAAGACACTTCCTGTTAGTTCATATTTACCACCAAACCTTTATATTAAGCAACTTAAAACGGATTGACCGTTGACGGATTGACTGACTAGGCAACGTTATCTTTAATGCATTTTGAGTAATTGCAGATGGAAGACGGACAGAGAAGACCTGCATCTCTGCCCTTCTTGAGTTGTTTTTCTTCTGTCTCCCTGTGTCTTCTTGCAGTGTCTTCTTCCTGGGCACCTTGCTGGTCATCGTTGCCACCTTCCTGTACGGTTACGAGGGAGGGCCCTCGCCCAATCCCAGCCGTGCCTGAAGTGGCCCTGCTGAAAAGAGCGGGGGGGAGGGGGGGTGGTGGTGGGAGCATGGGATTAAGGAGCGGACATCTCGATGAGGAGAAGTGGCCTTGGTTTGGAGGATTCGTACTGTGAGGGAAGGAGAAGACGTGGTGGTGAGGGGCTGGAGGAGGTGGGGACTGCGGGCAAGGGACACAAAGCCTGTCAGTCCTGCGGGAATATGAGTGAGGAGCAATTTAGCAGATGCCACACCCACTGCAAGTACTGCAAAAAGACTGGGTCTGGTAGTTGCCCCCCCACACTACATTCCAGTAGCCCCTCCCTTAGGTTTCCTGACTCTCAAAACCTAGTTTTTTTTTTTTGTCTGTATATTTGGGAAGAAACATTTTTAAAGTATGAATGTGTTCTGAGGTCATAATGTGTATAAATGAGGAATAAAACATTTCTATTTAAAGTGTTTCTATTTATTGAGATTTTCAAAGACATTGTTTTCACAACTTAATGTTTAATTTACCCCCTTGTCCCTGATTAGGGAAAGTGTGTATTTGTGTGTCGGTGGGTGAACGAATGGGTGGATGTCTGCTTTAGTTGTATTAACTTAACTCTGTTTTTTTATGGTATATAACAGGCGCGGATATTGTTTATCGTGAATCCTCGCTAGTCGATAGACATTTTTTACAGAATAAAATATGTAAACCAGCTCTATCCATTAGTCTTCTAAACGCGTATCCTGGTAATTGCTTAACAAGGAAGTATTTAATAGTGAGATTTATTTCAAATGTGTTAAATACTTATACTCGTGCCCTGTCTCAGAATCGCCACTAAAGTGTTATTGGACCGCAGTGCCCCCAAGGTTTCTGGATTTTTTCCACTGAATTGTATGAGTAGTTTGGCGAGATGAGCGAACATTTGAGCGATCAGGAAGAGCACGAAAGGCGGAGCGCCCGTGCCTCCAGGGGCGTGTGAAAGCGATGAAAGGTAGGTAGATAAAGGGCTACATCTGCGCGAGAGCCCCGCTGTTCTCGCTGCCTATTGGTTATATTCGTGGTGACGTAAACGGATGTTGGAACTGTCGCATTTCCTCGTTGACACGCAGTAACCTGGTTTATGGTCTTCCTTCCGACTATTTCAGGATAGTCCTTCGGGGCCGGCTTTCATTTGTCGCGTCGCGCCTTTCTGCTGGATGCTTTACGTTTGCTGGCGTCTTGTGTCGGGTGTCGGCAGCGATGAAACCGCAGGTGGTGTTCGTGTTGGGGGGTCCCGGAGCAGGGAAGGGCACCCAGTGTGCCAAAATCGTTCAGGTATGGGGTGGAGATAAAGAATTATTTTTCGGTGTGCATGTTGTGTGCTGTTTTGCGTAGAAAAGTGTGTAGGAATGACATAATTTTTAATAAAATGAATAAATGTGGTTTTAGGTCAGCTGAATTTTAGTGGAAATTTGACTTAACGAGTTCTTATACATCTATATCTTTCATTCCTTATCCTTAACAGCAGTTATATGGTCCCTGTCTCTGACTGATGGTTAAGGTTTTTGTGTTTTTGAAGGTGAACGCAGTAATTATATCAGACTGGAACTGAGTCACAGACCAGGGTCTCTCTCTTCTTGAAGCTGCCAGGCTGGCAATAGGCAAGCCGTAGCCAATCCGTCGTATGTGGCCAGTATGGTGTGACACATTGGAGGAAAGGATCCAAAGTTCTCTATTAATTTGCACATGCACGTACATAGATACCAGCAACCACGTGTGATGATCTTTTGAATGGATCAGATTGCCTCTACCATTACAAAAGAAAGAAAATGCTCAGCTTTTTACTGCATGCTCCTGTCAGTGACTTAAGTTGGTCTAGGAGTTCAGCACATTTGATGTACCTTCAAGCCTTGAAACCGTCTCTTTAAGAATTTCAATTACATCCACCTGTCGGCCGGGGACCTTCTGCGGGAGGAGAGGAGCCGTGAGGGTTCAGAGGTTGGCCAGCTGATTGATAGCTATATCAAGGACGGCAAGATCGTCCCTGTGGAGATCACCATCAAACTACTGAAGCAGGTACATCGGCAACAAGGTTATCCTAGGCTAGTGGTAGGGCACCTAATCCATGGAGGGCCGGTGCAGGTTTTTGGGATGACCTCTCAGTCAGCCAATAATAAAGCAGAGGTTTTCAGCTCCAGTCCTGGGGACCCACTGTTATTGGCTGATCGAGAGGTCATCCCAAAAACCCGCACCGCCCCCCCTGGCCTTGACGGTACATTTCGTCGCAATTAATATATTTTTATATAGTGCTTATTCCAACAAAGTTGGCCCAAAGCACTATACAAATGTTTAATACGAATAGCCACACAGATTGATGAATAAATGGTTAATGCAGAGATATTCTATGTCGGGAAAAGTTAGAAGGCATCTGAGGAGTTGAACATTGAATTTGTATTGCATTAGTGTTGCACATGCATCAAAACTGGTCCCATGTACTGTATGGCCATAGCTTCAGGTGAGGAAATGACCTCATTCTCTTCCAGTAAAATATGCATTTCCCTTGAATCACCAAGTTTCGGTTAAGCAATTAACTGCAAATCAGAAAAAACAACAACAAAAGAATAAAGAATGTCTCACATTCTTGCTGAGATGACTGAGGATAGGATGAGTGTAATCAGCCATGAACCATAGAACTAAAATCATCCCCACCCTTACAGTAAACACAATGTCAGGTATGTAACAGCACAGAGGAAACATATGATTCACGTTTACCGCTTACACTAACAAAACTGGTATGTTATTATTCAGTGTGTAGAGTAGACGCACAGAAATGAACAGAACCGTTCAACTGGTGAAGATAATGGCGTGGCAGCCATTTTTCTTGAAGAGCTCAGCGATTCCCTTTCATCGGTCTAAATATATTCGTTTCTTCGGCTCCTAGGCCATGGAAAAGATCATGCAGCAAGACCAAGAGAAGTACAACTTCCTGATTGATGGCTTTCCCCGTAATAAGGATAACCTGCAGGGCTGGGAGAAGGACATGGAGGGCAAGGCTGATGTCAGATTCATTCTGTTCTTTGACTGCAGCAATGAGGTAATTGAGGGCTGGTGGATGGAAGGATGAGAGGAAAAGTGCAAAAGAAAAAACCGTTATAGAATGGTGAGGATGTTCCTTGGAAGGAGGTTTTTTAAAAGAATTCATGTAGACCAGTTTTTCTTAGCTGGTTTAGTCCACATCATTCCTCAGTCATTAAGTCATGACCCTAAGATTTATGTTTGCATTTTTTTTGTTTAATTCACCATTGGGGGGATCTGATGGTCGAACAAAGCAAATGATTTCCAGGACGGCGCTGTGCATCGTTCCTGCCCACAAAAGTCCGACATCACGATGATTTTTCAAAATGATTTTTTTAACCAAACAATCTGAAAATGGTTCTGTGTCCAATTTTGGGTCGCGACCCACCGGTTGAAAACCACTGCCATATACTGTGTAATGCTGGCCGATTAGGGAGCCAGCGGACTTTGAAAGACTGGTGCCGTGTGTCTACAGGTGTGTGTCAACAGGTGTTTGGAGCGCGGGAAGAACAGCGGGCGCACAGATGACAACAGGGAGAGTCTGGAAAAACGGTAACCACTCCTGCAGTCAGTCGCACTCGCCCTGCCCCCTGCGGGGTCTCTGTGCCGCCTGCATTTCAGTGGTCTGTTACACACACACACACATCCACACCAAGCATGTCCATCTGACTGCAGCCTGTCTGTGTCATAGGATCCAGACCTATCTGACGTCTACACGGCCAATCATTAACCAGTACTCGAAGCAGGGGAAGGTGCGAACGGTGGACGCTTCTCGCAGCGTGGAGGAGGTGAGTGCAGCCGTGCCTTTGTGATCCCATGACTCTCCAAACCCCGTCGATCCTAAAACCTTCCGTCTCTGCTCCCTCAGGTGTTTGCAGACGTGAAGAGGATCCTCGAAACGGAGGGGTAGATGCTCTCACCATCCTATTGCCCCGCACGCACATCAACTCGCATCCCTCTGTGGGATGTGTGGGGCACGTGATGTTGTGATGCGTGTGTATGAGCGTGTGTGTGTCCGCGTGTGTGTCCGCGTGTGTGTCCGCGTGTGTGTCCGCGTGTGTGTCCGCGTGTGTGTCCGCGTGTGGTGCATGCATATACACCATGCTCTTCCTCTGCTATGGGAACAACATTGTCCTGCCTGCGGACCTATATCAAAAAACCAGATTCCCTTTAGAGTTTAAACATTGTAGACTTTGTCGTAGATCAGCCTGGTATTTCTGAGACCGAGGGCTTCGGTAATAACAGTGTCAGAGGCAGCTTATAGAGAATAGCAGAGTGTGTGTGTGTGTGTGTGTGTGTGTGCGTGTGCGTGTGTGTGTGTGCGCGTGTGCGTGTGTGTGTGTGGATCACATTAAAACTGGCAGCATATCAACATTCTGCTTGACTGGCAATATAACGAAGAACCAAATATAAAACTAAGGGGCTTGATTGTGCCCGTCCTGCCCGCCTCCAGCTCCTGACAAACTCCACTTTGACACATATGGCTCTCTGATGAGCGTGGAGCAGAGCGGAGTGCCAGCGTGTCATCAGGAGAAGGTTAGGGCCGTTTGCACACGGCTCTTTTGGCACTTTTGTATTTAGAGCTGCTGTTGGACGCCATTCCAGCCGTGGGTACCACCGTGCCCAGTTTTGGTGTGTGCCCGTCCACACCACACCTCCCACTGCACTGAACTGACCCCAAATAGTGCTTTTTTTTTAAAAAAAAAAAAAACATTGTGTGTGTCTCTGTCAAAGCCATGAAAGAAAAAACATTTGAGGATGAAAAAGGACCAGTTTGTTAAACTTGAATGTTTATATTTTTAAATGAGGAAGAACTTAAAAGAAATATTACCTGAATGTGTAAAATATACCTTTTCCCTTCTGCCTTGTGTGATTTCTTAGCAGGTGTGTATATATACAGTATGTGTTGTGTTTATACATGATAACTTTGTAGTTGTTTCATTTGGGTAATTTGGATATGTTACCTGGCTTCTAAAGACTAAATCAACAGTTCTATAAAATATAATTAACCAGCCTGAGTACTGACTCAAGACATGATAAGCAAAATGACAGTGTGCACTACGAAGTCTGATACATGAATCGGACCAGTTAGAGCCACATTTTCAATTGAGTCTACCAAGGATTTCTTTTCACTTGGTTAATATTATAACAGGTGAAATATATATACTGCAGACACATTTTCTGTATAATAATAATGTGGTAATGCACAGTATTTGGTGGATGTTTTATTGAATATTGACAGTAATCACACTGAAATTGAAGCAACTTTACATAGTGATAGCAAAGAGAATGGCAGTTTGGTATGTATTAGCCTGATAGCTCATAAAGTTTTTTATGTATCTTTTTCAAACTTTGCAAACACATCATAAAGGAGAGTAATTAGAATCGATCAAATTTTGATATAAATTGCATCAGAATTGAAGCTATGCCACTCTGGCAGGAGAGGGAAGGATGACTGCTGACAACACTTGACCTTGTGAATATGAGACGTCAAAATGTAAAAACATTATATGGATGATGATCTACACCTTATTCCATTTTGAGGCAAATTACACAAAAATCAAAGCAGCAGTGCTATGTAGCAGCAAAATCAGCATAACAAGTTATGCCGATTGTTGAGGATTTTACAACATCCTGAATCTTTCAGTTCTTCAAAATTCTTGGTTCTCACAGCAACCAATCCATAAGCTCAAACCTGCTTGGAGCAGGTTTATTCAAAGTAAGCAAGATTTGATCACGTATACAAACAGAGCTCTGTCTACTCAGGAAACTTGTCCAACCACAGCCGTGCCTTTCTCATGACAGGAGCAGATTGCAATCAGTGTGATCATATAAAGAGAAAAGTGTTTTTTTTTCCTGTTCTACAATATAACATTTGCATAATACAGACAATATCAGGGCCATGTGAGAAAAACTATAGTATAGAACAAGCACTAATGTCCATCAACAAAACATTAGTCTTTGGGTGAGATAAAAGTTATACAAATGAATATTCTTTTCCAAAGCCATGAAAATCATTTCTGGAGGGTGGGACTGGACCATGTGTCAGCCTTGGGGGGGGGGGGGGGGGGGGGTGGGGGGGGGGGGGGGGGGGGGGGGGGGGGGGGGGGGTTGTTTGGGGGGTGTGGCAATGTACTGCACCAGTGCATGCTCCATAATCTGACCTGATCTGTACCACCTGACATGGAAGGTTTCAAACATAGAATTACGCCAGACTAAATTATTTTTTTAGTTACCTCAATGCCTGTTGTAATAGCTTTCTTACTCTGCTCATTTGTTCCGACAGTGTACTGTCATCTGGGGAATACGCTGTTGTCATTCTAACAGAATCTAGTTATATATACATACAATGTGCATAATTAGCCCAGTGTCATTTTGAACCGATACAGACATCAGTTAAAAACAAATCCTACATTTAAGCATGTTTACCTTGTCAGCGTAACATGAATGTGGTCCCTAATATTGTGTATGCTAAAATGACTAAGAATTTCTCAAGATTAGATGTGCCGGCCCACTGCTGAGGACTGAGACCTTAGCATGCTAACTTGGTTTCATTGTGTGCATACATATGCTCTGTGATGGACTGGCCATCCAGAGATTGCCCCAGATTTCTGTGCCATCTGGGATGGACTGCAGGCACCCAATGACCCTGACCAGGGTAATTTAGTTGGAAATGTGATGACACTTTTATACATTTGACACCTTCCAGTGTTTATGGACAATTAAGTAATCTGGTTTTCCTATGGCATTTATGTGGTACAGTAAGTGAACATGCACCAGATTAAACAAAGCACAAGTTGATCGAGAGTCCTTAACAATGCTCACCATGCTAATTAACTTGGATTAGGAATATTTTGTTCAGTCAGGCCAGCTATCTTGAATAAAGCTGCTTTCTCTGTTGCAGCCATGGGTACCACTAACTCTGACCAGCTTACAGTGCTTGTGTGGACCCTCACACAGAACTGGCCCCATATAGCGTATTTTTAATGTTGTGCGTGTCACTGTCAAAGTCAAGACAGAAAACCATGCAGTTTCTTGAGGAAATTTTGGTTAGGGGCACGTAAACGATTAAAGGGAACATACGGCGTTTAGTAGTATGTTTCATACATTCCTTTGCAAATGGAGCCATCTGCTGTTAGTTTAACGGTACTTGTTAGTTGTTATTCAAATATATTTCTGTTGTATGTTATGGCGCTGTGGTTAGCACGGTTGTCTGACAAGTCTCGGACTAGGGTTTGATTCCCTGCTCTGGCTATATGTGTGTGGAGTTTACATGTTCTATCCTTAATTGTTGTCGTGGGTTTTTTTTTTCCTCGTACTCTGATTTTCCCCCACAGTCCAAGAACATGCTGAGGTTAATTTGAGTTACTAAATTGCCCGTAGGTGTGACTGTCTGATTGAATGGTGTGTGAATGTGCCCTGCGATGGGTTGACCCCCCAACCTGGGCTGTTCCCCACCTTGGGGCCGTAGCTCCAATCCTTTCAGAAATTGAATGGACGGATGGATTCATGGGTGTCGCCGCCATTAAATCTCACATTATTATTCGTTTGGACCCCCCCCCCCACACACACACACACACACACACACACGCACACACATTTAACATAAAATTTTAGTTTTATGCCAGTGTGTATCCCCCCATTCAAAATGCTTCTGGCGCCCCTGGATGGATTATGGCTAATCATTTGGCCTGTATTAAAAAATAGGTAGAAAAGATGTCACACTCTTCAAAATGTCATGTTTCTATGGTTGCTAGTAACCAGCTAATTTTTAAAATGATATTGATAAGAACTGTAATTGGTGAAATATATACGCGGCTTAAAATATTTTAAAGTAGGATTTATCAGTTCATATTTTTTTGAGTGGGAGATAACAGTTTCTTTTACGTTGGCAATTTCAAATTGTCTATAGGGGAACCGTTCCTCATTTCCCCCCCTCCTTTATTATAACAAGTAACAACACAGCATAGAAACCTTGGCTGGTTATAATCAGGCACTAGTGCTTGGCGCTATTTTATGACGTTTTCCACACGCGCCCTGGTTGTTCCCCCAAAGCGGAAGGAGCGTATGTCTGTCGTTAGCAGCGTTCTATCTGAAGATGGTAATATGCCTTTTTGTTTTTGATTTACGTCGTTTATCCCTTTTTATTTTTCTGAAGCTCTTGGAAGCTTATATTTAATGCCGACCGGTTATCGAGTAGTGGGATATATTTCCGAGTGTCTAATTTATATATGCAGTTTTTCGCATATTTAAAACGTGATTGCATGGGATAAAATCGTCGAATAATGCGTTTAGTGTGCTTTTGATAAAAGTGATCTTTTTAAAAGTGAATTATGATTTAAAATATTCCGGGAAATGTATTTCATGTTTTCTTCAATTTCCATTGCAGCTGTTCTACTCATTTTTCAAGTCGTTGGTGGGAAAAGACGTTGTCGTTGAACTAAAAAACGACCTAAGGTTAGGATTTCTGTGCTTTACGTGGTGGTATCCAAAGGATTTGGACTAAATGTAATATTTGAAACCTTTATCCTTAATGCCATGTCTGACTCCTCCCCCCATCTGATTCTTTGCAGCATATGTGGGACATTACACTCAGTTGATCAGGTGCGGTTATATACGTTTCTTAAGGGCTTTTCTAAAGAGTCTCACTGATTTTAAAATGGGCACACAATGTTCACCGATGAGCCAAAACATTATCACCACCGCCACGTGGAGCGAATAACATTGACTATGTAGAAAATTGGCGCGTGTCAAGGTCTGGGATATAGCCATATAGGTGAGCTAACATTTGGTACTGGTAGTTGACGTGATGAATGCAGAAGAAATGGGTATTGGTAAATGTCGGAGTGACTGAGTACGGCCAAAGTGTTTTAGCTAGACAACTGGATCAGAGTATCTGCGATACTGCGAGGATTGTGGAGAGTCCTCGCTGCCCGACACCGTGGCAGTGCTTTGTGGTTCTCTCCTCGGATCACTGTCGGTATTCGCCACGGCTGCCCTAGACTTCCACCGTTTTTACGAGATGGTCAGCATTGTTTCACATGGAGGTAGCCATAATGTTGTGGTTCATTGGTGTAAAAATGCATTTATGTAATTCAACAGTAATGCACATTAATGGATAGTTCATTGCAATTCCTATTTTTTCCCCTTTACAGTACCTGAATATTAAACTAACAGACATAAGTGTGACAGATCCAGAGAAGTATCCCCATATGGTGAGTTTTGTTGTGGCATTATCGGTTATTTCTCTTGTGAAATGCTGGTTACAAGGTTGTCGTATCTTTTTGTTGAAATGGTAAGTAAATGAATGTATTCATTAATTCCTGTATTAATAACAAGAGGGACATTCTCTTACAGCAGAATTAACAAAATAACATTATATAGCATACATCGCAGCAGGCGTGTTTAAAAAAATTCAAATAAAAGAAAGTCAATAATGGGCTGATAATGTATCATTCACCTCCATACTTTTAACTTTTGAACAACTTGGTTACTAAATACTTGAAATATATATATATATATATATATATATATATATATATATTACGGTTCAAGCACTCGTATTTAGTCAGTTTGTGTTCTTTTTCTGTTTCACGTGGAACAGTTCGGCAGAAGAACAAAACAGCCCTGAAAAAATGTTATATAATGTCTTATTTTGTTCAGTTAAGCATTTCCGTTCAATCTAATTGAATACTTGGAATATGTTTACACTTCAGGCACTTGGATATTTAGTCTATATTTCCTCAAATTCAAAATTTCACATTTTTTTGTATTAAGTTGGGGAAAATTGTGAATAAATCATAATAATCATAATTCATTCTGACTTTCTATACTGACTTTAAAAAAATACTTTAGAGAAATTTTAATAATAGTAATATTTTGAATATTAATAGTGATATGGTTAAAACACTATTTCCAAGTGTATGATGCATTACTGAAACTGTAATTTGGAAATCTTGGTAACATGTACATGAAACCAGACAGCGCTTGACTGTTCAGACTTAAAAGTGACTTACAAGTCTGCCAGACAGGTTAATGTGCGACATAAATGATTCCTTTGCCTTTCTGTACAATGGAATTGGTAAAGTAGTTCATTCTAAATTTTAATGATGCAAGGTACAGCTGGTTCATAGTGACTAAGAACTAAGATTTGTATGCCATCAAGCACACTTTTGCTTCATGAAAGTCTGTCTGATAGATTTTAACTTGTTTTTCCCCGTTCATCAGTTGTCCGTGAAGAACTGCTTCATCCGTGGCTCAGTGGTGCGCTACGTGCAGCTCCCTGCGGATGAGGTGGACACGCAGCTGCTGCAGGACGCTGCGCGCAAAGAAGCCATGCAGCAGAAACAGTGACATGCTGCCCTCTGCTGGCTGTCTGTTGCAGCTGAACTCGCATCTCCAGTGACTCTGTTTTGAGTTTGACAACACTAGGGGCAAAGAATAACTTCTGAGGAATGTTTGTTGTTTTATCTTTGCATTATCCAGTTGCCCCAACAGGCGTGAAGCCTGTTGATAGCACACTGAGTATAGTTCCTACTTGATATAATTTGATCTCTCTAATGTCTTCCTATTCAAAAATCCCCCTGATAGGAGGCTGAGAACTACCTCTGCAAGAAGTGCGATGAGACAATTGAGAGAATTTTACTTTTTTTTCCCCCTCAAAAAGGTTACAATAAAAATAGATTTTTCTTTGCCCTCAAAAAAGATCAAAATAAAAATAGATTTTTCTTTGCCCTCAAAAAGATTAAAATAAAAATAGATTTCTTTTTCCTTCAGCAGGTCTAATCAAAAGTTTATAACTCTGTATGGGATTAATTTTAGTTATAAACGGAAGCTCCTAATTTTGTTATGTTAAGTAAGTGTTGTCATACTTTTTGGAGTCATGGGGAATGTTTTTGTTTGTGTTAATTGTTTCCATCATTTGTTTAAAGGTTTGAAATAAACATTTTTTTCATTACCATTTGCCTGGTTCAGTGTTATAGTTGCATAAAAATAACTTTAAACAACAAGAAACAAATCTGCATATAGAACAATTAACCCACAGAACAGAATAAATTGGTGTGATTGTAAATGTGGTTTTGTAAGAGGTATGTATGTTGTATGTGTTGCTTAGTCCATTTTTGTCATTAATCTAGTGCCTGGCTATAGTGATTTTGGCCTATTTCAGGAATTGCATTGCAAAAGGTAGGACGAAGTTAATGAAGATTAACAAATTAGACTTATTTAAGGTTTTCAGAAAATGTTATGGTGATTGTATGCAACCAGTTGGGAGGTGACTAAATTAGTTTTATTAGCACTTAAATGAACCAAACATGAAACTATATCTATGTTACTTTGTGTTTTTGCTGAAGTAATCCGAGATTGAACTTTTCATTATCCTGCAGACTCGTTGAGGATTCTCATTGTAAAATATAGGATTAAAAATAGATCCAGCTGTAATTCTTTTTTTATAATACGATTGGTGCTCTTCGTTATCCATTCTTGTGGACTTTACTGGGTTAAATAGACTTGAAAATACTAGTATGTGACTTTTAAGTTGAAGACGTGTTTAGAATAGGCTGTTACATCATATCTACGTAAGTCTAGTCCTAATGAGATTATCAATGACCAGCTGACAAATCTAAACTCACAAGGTCAAAGGTCACCGTAACCATTAACCACTATTAGGAAACGCTGCTGTGCAGAATTACTGGTAAGCCCACCTAAATCTAGAAAACTTTTCGTTTTTCTCCAGCAGCCAACTAAAGACGACGTAAGACGAAATAATACAAAGTCTGAGTTACTGGTGGCAGAAGTGAGGATATAAAGGGATCGTTGTTTCACTTTGAAGTCTGTCAGCCAATTTAAAATGGCAAACGTTTGAGTTTAGTGTATATATCATGTCTACAGAGGTTTGATCGCACGTGTTATTTTTGAAATGCCGGAACCTGGACCTGACAGCATTATGGTAAGCAAAACAAATTCGTATTCATATAGGCATATAAATATAAATTATTCCCTTCCTATGAAGGCTTAATTAATTCTGACCAAGTCCGCTGGCTGTGAGCTATTTTTAACTTTTATGTTATTGTTTACAGAATAACTCCACTTCCGAGGAATTAAAAACGGACTATAGAGAAGGACCGGCTGACAATGTGCTTTCTGATAACGAGGTAAGTGATTCCATTGCGTTTTCTTTAGCTTTAACTCTGAATTTTTCGTAACAGCGGAGTGCTTTTAAATTAGGTTGATTTAGCTTTCATCACATTGCTTCCCCGCACCCCCTCAATTGGAACACGGTGCGCTGTCCTTATTGCGAAATTAAATAAATTACAGCAAAATGTACCCAAACTTTGCAGCCGCTTCAAGTGCTTCAAACCACGGCTTCATTATTCTATAGGCCAGTATTTTGTTTCCTAGTTTTGAAAAGCATATAAACTAACCCCAGTTTGATAAAACAATGGAAAAAATTGTGATCGTAATCTGTGAGTCTCCTTTCAGATAGATGGAGAAGATGATGATGATGTCGGTACAGTCTATGCGCGCGACTCGTCTTTTGAGGATTTTTCAGATAACGAGGTGGATAAAACCGGATTTTATTCCATTGGCAGGAAAACTAAAGTTAAAAAAGCACCCACTAGGTTTCACAAGCGGTTGTTTCCCTTTAGATCTCAACTCGGAAAGAGTTTCACTGGAGACTGGGACCGGCCGATCTCAATGACACGCTGATATACGACTTTCCGGAATTTCAGGCTGAGCTGGAAAAGGGAGCGAACGAGGAGGCGGCGCACAACCTGACATAAGTCATTTAAAACGCTGCCCTTAACGCTTTTATTGTATTTTCACAATTCGTAATAAAGAATCTGTATCCGCGTAAGTAGTAGTACTTATTCTGATCACTTTAAGCGCCGAGTTTTAGCTTGAATTAAGCTGCTCTGTTTGCATGATAAAGCAGAGGGTTGCCAGCTTTGCTCAACTGGCTGTCGTGAGATTGTCAATTCGAGACAAGACTGCGCACACATGCATGCGCAGTTATACGTATGTAACAGTTTTAATATCTTATAAATACTCTGTAGGGTATTCCAGCTGCCCCAACGCTTTTAATGTAGCCGAATTTAGGTTTGCCTCTTGCGTGAGATTCTGATGTGCGAGTGTCACGCCAGATGCGTGAGAGTTTGCAAATCCTGGATAAAAAGATGTATTGCACAACAGGTGCTTGTAGGCTATGTGGAAAGTTCGGTAAGCCACCCTGGCAACTGTAAGATTATTGATGGGCTCTTCAGTTGGACAACAGGTTAGGAAACTGGACTTCATGGGAAATGACATTTAATACTTACTGAAAATGATGCCGAGAATGTCCGAAATGAAGCAACAATTTTCAGAACAGTTTGTCTACTTTTTGCGCGTAAGCAGGATTTATTACAATGAACATCCTTTTTAGGATATCTATTATATTTCTCCAGAAGGTTTAGTTTCGGCAGAATAATTAGAGGAAACGTACTTTAGAAAACAGTGGTGTTGCTTCTGCACGTTATCCAAAATGGGCACAAAATGTAACTAAAAAAGTGCAAGGTACAGTCAAGGAAGTGAAGTTGAGCGACAACCTCAGAGGCGTCTAGATCGGAATGTGTAGGGAGGCGCCCATCGAGCGTTTAAGGATATTCCACATGTGACGATCGAATGCAGCGTCCGCGAGTTTACTCAGAATTAACGGCACAATAAGGACTTCGTCCGTAGTAGCCTATATGTCTAGCAGAGCATTTCAGCTCTTGGAGATGTTAAGTGTACATATGACAAGTTGCACATGCATCTGGAAATGCAGCTTGTGACCAGAAATCCCTTGTGTCTTTGGGAATGTATAAGCTTAATTCCAGACTAATGGGTATAAACACTGAATGTATCTAAGGTCCGTCTCCCATTTGATGGATTTGTATTCCGCGTTCACTGGAGTTTTACCCAAGTCCTGAAACTTATGGGAGGGTAAACGCTGTAATGAAACAGATTTCATCATCGACTCGTTCAGTACCTGTTCTTTAAACAACTAACATGCAACACATTACATAGAAATTCAGTTTTATTTTACATTCATACATCTATTTTACAATAAGCTTAATGCAGTTTACAAAAATTCACTCCCCGCATAGTTCCTGGAAATGTACAGCTCCAGCAGTGTCATGAATTTGTGCATTTAGCAGATGGATGGGCTGAAGGGGAAACCATCTTAATGCAGTTTTAAACTGAATGGAACTTTTAGAACTATGGTTGCTTTGAAGAAAAGGCACCATCAGCACACAGTGTATTTACAAAGGGTCCGGACACTTCGTCTACCTTGACTTCAAAACTGACGACTAAACTTTTCACTTGGCAAGAAACGTCACACGTGTACATGGGGAACGTGGCTGGAACAATGTGTCCTGTTTACAGAAGAGATTTCTGGAAGCCACTCTGCCAGCAGAGCTTTAAGTCATCTCTGAATGAGTCTGTTATGCCACATTCATGAAGCTCCTTAGCTTGTACCTGTATAGACATGGTTAAAAAAAAAAAAAAACAAACAAACTGTGCATACATATATATATTATAGCTTTTCATAAAACCCAACTTCACTACGCTTCCCCCAGTCAGTCTCAGAGTGTAAAATTAGCTTGAACGTTTATCCTTGGGAGGGGGGGGGGTAAAAGGACCGGCCTTCAGTCAAACATCTCACTTTTTCGGTCAGCTCTGAAAGAAACCTTGTCTTGATATAAAACGCTTCATCCTCACTGGATATTGAAGTCCATTTCATCCATATCCCCCACCATTCACACATCAAAATAAGACTATTTTTTTTTTTAAAAGCATAACTCCCAACTAGACATATACACAAAATATACATTTTACAAGTACACTTCACACGTGACCAAACCATTTTTGGTTCTACATTCCTTTGTAGAAAACCCATTCAAGATGGACACCCCCCCCCCCCCCCCGAATTGTGGCACAATTTCACAAGTGTACAAAACAGTCCGTGGTTCATATTTCAAAGTGGGGGTTTCCCTCCCCAGGCTCTGCTCAGCAGACTTTGGGAAGGTCGCCGGGCAGATCGGCTGTTGATATACGATACTGGACTTTGGTGTTGGTGATGGCGCCGTGCTTTTGCCGTAGGTGCAACCTCAGTTGACTCTTGTGGCGAAAGTGCAAGTTGCACTTCTCACACTAAATGGAAGTGAAACATTAGCTGGGTTAGAGGCAACTAGTGCTTGTCAGTTTACAATTTGTACTTGTTGACTCGGCAATGTGAAGTTATAGTAGGGAACAAAGAAGCGGTACAGGCTCACACTCAGGTAGGGGGGGTGGGGGGGCATATCGCTTTGGCGGGGAAGGGATCTGTCAAAATATTGGGTACTGCGGAGGATGTACTTACATGGTACGGCTTTTCTCCTGTGTGAATACGCAGGTGGCTTTTCAGCGTCTGTAGGTGGCGGAAACGCGTCCCACAGATATCGCAGGGGTAAGGCTTCTCCCCCGTGTGGATCAGCACGTGAGCGCGGAGGTGGGCGACCTAAATTAAGGAGAACATCTAACTAAGATCTAGTGCAAGTGGAAGGGGTGTACAAGAACTATTTAGCATCGGGGGGGGGGGGGGGTTATCCAGACTGGAAATTGACTGGTGTATCTGCTTACCTGGACGAAACGGGCGCCACATGTCTCACACTTGTAAGGCTTCTCTCCAGAGTGTATGCGAGTGTGGGTCTTCAGGTTGGCTGGTCTGTTGAACTGAGCACCGCAGATGTTGCAGCGGTACGGCTTCTCTCCTGAACGTGTAAGAACGGGCCGTGAGAACCAGGAAGCAAAGGCTGCCGGCGACCTTACAGACGGTCACAGCGCCTGCAAACGTACCTGTGTGGACGGTTTTGTGACTGGCGAGATTCCCTTTGTAGCGGAAGGCGGCCTGGCAGCGGTCGCACTTGTAGGGCTTGTCGCTGTGCGCCTGGAGAACGTGCCGTTTCAGGGAATCCTCCTCTGTGAATTTAGAGTTGCATTCGTTGCAAAAGAATGTGCAGTTTTCTGTTATTTAAAAACAAAAAACAAAAAAAATATATAAAATTACATCTTGGACAGACAGATCCAGTGTTACTCAACAGTAAAGACTTTGAATTGCTTGCAGTTGTAACGTACCGCAGCTGGAGTCCGAGTACTCCGAGTGCAGCTCCGACATCTCCTCACCGAAGCTGGAGACGGGAGTGTGGATGCACACCTCTGGGTGCTGGGGGGAGCAGGAGCCACAAGAGGAGCACTTTAGGTGTCCTGGGTAGAGTGAGGAGCAGCTGTCGCCCCTCTGACTCGCCTCATGGGTCCTTTGGCGGGAGGGGGGGTTGTTAGCATGTATGTGACAAAATCCGGCACACCAGATCTTGCTAATAGGATTAGATTAAGAATAATTTTGCCAGATTATAATCTGATCAGATTACACTGGCGCTCTCAGAAAAGTACCTTAAACTCAAGTCCAGAACTTTTCATATATTGACGATTCACCTGCTCTAAACTTGTACTGTGGTAATATTTGGCTTTTAAGGCTTCCGTCGGGCCAGCAGACAACCGCTCGCTTACCTGTTGATGATGCTGTTGAGGCGACTAGCCTGTGGTGCTGGGGATTCCTGGCTCTGCTCCGTCACCTTGCTCGCCTGTGGATCCGGGTGTTCAGCTTCGCCGGTCGGTGGGTAGGCGGGCGATCGGGCCTCCGGCCTGGGACTGTCCCCGCTCTCCTTCGAGGCTTGGTTGACCGAGTTGAGGACGATGTACTTGTATTTCTTCCAGTTGCGGGCCTTGGGGTCGGCCATGCCCGGAGCTGTTGGGGAGCCAGGGGCCTGGCCGAGGCTAAGGGCGGCATTCTTGCTGCTGCTCGACTCTGTGGGCGAGTTTGGCTGGCAGTCGGACTTTAGTGGGCTCTGCGGGCTCCCCACAGGGACCTTGCGGCGGCTGGGGGGAAGGCTCTGTGGGTAGTGTAGGTGACCCAAATCCCTATCTTCTCCCTCCTCCATCTCTTCTTCTTCTTGCTGCTGCTGTTGGTCCATAGAGGACACCTCTCTGGTTGTCTCCTGGCATCCAGGGAAGTTCGGTCTCTTGAAGCCTAAACTTATACCAGATGATCGGGCTTCTCCTGGCGTTTCTTTCCTGGCCTCCTCCTCTCTAGTAACCTCCTGCGAGGGGTAGAATGTTAGATGACTGACGCTAGGAGCAGCGGTGGTGATTGCGCGGTAGTCGACTGCTGCGACACTGGCACAGTCGGACGGCGAGGAGAGCTTCTGGTGGAAGGCGCTCCCTTTTGGAAAGTCTGGGAAGGAGCTTTTGGTGTCTGGTAGCTTCCCTAATGGGAAGGAGAAGCCCTGGACGGGAAGATGGCCGTAGAGATGGTAGGAGCTGCTGGGGGTGTTCACACTACCAAACATGCTGGGACAGTAGGGCCTCCCATCCCTGAAGGGGGCGACGCGGCTGGGTAAATTCTGCTCTTCGTGAGCCCTGTAGGCGTGTACGTCCTGAGATAACAGCAGGGGACTGGCCAGGATGTCTTCTCTGGACAGCTTAGCAGTGGAGTCCCTGGAGAATACAGAGAACCAGGTTTCAGCATTTATATTAAACCAAAACGCACCACACACACACACACACACACTATATCTACCTGGATTTGATGAATCTGTGGCAGGTGTCCACAACATGGTCCATCTGCAGGTAGATGGCAGTGTTCAAAGTCGCCACAATCAGACTGTCCTTCAGTGACAGACATGACGTGTACATGAACTCCAGCAGAACCGCAAAACCTTCTGGGTCCACCTTTGGGTCCAGGCTTATGGCACTCAGGTTACATTTGACTGAGTCCGTGAATATAGTGTAAAACAGCCGGCTTCGAAAAGAGAGAGAACATTTGTCAGTATCATTCGGTAACCAAACTATTGCCCCCCTAAAAAGGGACGTGGTATTCAAATTACGCCAAAATTCCACATTCAACGGATATTCACCTGCATGCCATAAGAACGGTCTTATGGGCGCGGAACTGCTGTCTGTTGACAAGGATGGTGACGTCAGTGAGAATGTTCCGGCTGCGTAGCCGGTTGAAGTTGAGCAGGACGTCACTGGCGTGCCGGGTGAACTGGATGCAGTTGTCTGCTGCACAGGCCATTTTCTCAAGATCTGTGAAGATGCACATGGAGAAATTAGCCATGGGATCAGAACTGTATGAACACTCCGAAGAACGTGACAGGCTGTTTTTTTTGGGGGGGGTGGGAGGGAACAAGAAAATAAGACATTGCTATAGGATGGAGTAAGAATGGCTACTGTGAAATGTTTTCAGTCTAGGCAAGTTGCTGTTCAGTGGATTGTAAATGAGGAAATGGAACAAAATAAATCATGCCTTTCCTAAGATAAGGAGTTTCCCCCTCATCGAAAGTGAGTAATGTATAATTATCAGTAAATACTAGGTGTGAAAGCCAAAAGACTGCAAGCTGCTTCTCAACTTCTCCAGTAATTATGAAATTTCTGATAAAGCTGAATGTTAAAATGGAAATGCATAAATGACTTTTGTAGCGATCTCACGGCGGGGGGCGCTGTTTCCTAACAATAATTCACTTATAGCGCTCCTTAATGGGACAGCAATAATTTCTGAAGACTGAGACAGCAGTTTACGGTTTATATAATCAGTTCACACACCTGCGTCCACTTGGAGTTCAAGTAGTTATCGGTATTGAGAGAAGTAGATGACCTGCGTATGCACCAGTTACTTATTTTTATTTGGAGAAGCGCGACTTATGAAAATAAACGCTAATAGATTGCGCCCATAGCATGGCTGTTTAAATTAATGGGAGATTACGTATGATTGAATTTTAGGTGGAAATTTCATGAACAAATGAAAGTTTGTACAGAAGAAGCGGCTGTTAAGCAGGTAACCCGGTTCTCGATTGTGGTACATCTATATGCCAACGTTCAAATTCCAGATAGAATGATCATTGAGTATCATTTCAGTAAATGCGATCGCTTTAACGACTTGACTATATAAAAAAACTGACTTTAATGGACTTATCAGTAACATTTTGGAACTTACTGCTGTCATTCTAACCATAACGCATTACTGTCAAATCTATATTCGGTACAAGATTATGACTTGGGGTACACGACCGTCAGTATTTACATACAGAGAACTAGAATTCGCTGCAGTGATTTAAGTTATCGCCGAATCTTCTGTTCCCCGCACCCCCCAAAAAATATCGAGAATATGCTGCGAAAATGTGCTTTATTAGACTAAAGTTCTGTAAGGTGCCCAATGGGCTGCAAAGTATAGACTGACACTAGATGGCAATAAAGACCTTGTATTTCTTCATAAGTCAGAATGCAATACAAGACAAATAACGGTATGAAGTTTTTGATTTTGGAATGGCAAACTAATTTATATAGTGTTAAGTGTAAGCTCTCTCTCTCTCTCTCTCTCACACACACACACACACACACACACACACACACCTATTTCAAACAGTGTTGAACTTAATATTTAAAACACGCATAAAATCCACTGACACAACCTGTGTGACACGTCAAGTGTAACCTAATTAATGTATCGAAAACAACTTTTAAAAGGCATCTACACTTGGACTTCCCGGTGCTTATACCTGCAGGTGTTATTTTTAACATGGAAGAAATGCTGAAGAAGTTTAATAGCCATGCATCTTCTATCCGATTATCCTACTCATTTTTAAAGAATATAACAAACTAAAATAACTGACAATTACTACAAAACAAACACACACTCTTGCGGAAATTCCTGCGGAATTTTCATCTGGTTTCAAACGGGTTTTGGACACATTTACTAGTCTGTAGGCTACTGGAATTAGTCACCAGAGATTTTGTTCTTTTGATATAATTATCTGTCCTGTACCATTAAATCTGCTGGCGAGTACAGCGCAGCTGCTCAGCTATCCAAATATGAATTCGGTCAAGTAGCCTACACGGTTTTCAACTGTAATTTCCACTAGTGATGCCCACGACTACAGATGTTTTACAATTAAGAAAAAAAATCTACAACAAAATTTTATTCGCATGATGTTAAATTAATAATCCATGACGTCTTTCCGTCTCTATTACGGGAAAGTCCTTTTGGTCAAATTCTAAGTTTCTATACCACACTACATGCGGTACTGATTTTTTTTTTTCTTTCTTTCATGAAGAGCGATATAGTTTTTGCAGCGAAAGTATTATTTCTCATTGGCTCCTGGAAAAAAAATTGGTCCTCAAGTTCGCGTTTGGAGTAAATTGAAAATGATCCCCATCTAACTGACGTCTGAAACCTGGTAGCTCACTTCCAGAAATAGCGTGTAGGCATTTGTCCAACATCACGGTGCTTCTTTCCATCAAGTGTGTCTCGCCTGGGTACTGAACTAATACTAAAGACGATGAGAAAGTAGATCGAAGACTGTACAGAACACAAAACCCAACATTTATTGAAGTTAAAACACCAATTGATATTTTGAAGTGTTGCCAATCGCCTAAAATGAACACACCGTTATTTAATCGTTAGCGACGCGCAAACTTTTCTACACGCATTTGTGATGCGCCTGTTTATTGTAGTAGAAATAATGATACATTGCTAGCGACGAGCAACAGGAATATAGCCATTGGTTACCGCTGTCTAACCATAAATAAACACATTTCGTACATTTATTTTCTGCCTTGACACCCCAGAACCCACAGACATATGACTGAGTTGAAATATACCAGTCGATAAAGCGGTTTAAGTCCAGGGATGGCTGAAAGGGCCGTAACGCAGTTACGAGCGATCTGCAGCCTTAACATTGCATCCTCGGTTAGCGCATTTTCCCCCCAACAGGAGTCAATGACTTCTGAACGTGTAGCTTCATACCCAAAGAGGAGTCACACACACTGCCCAAAAAAGATAGACATCTTTGCGAGAAGTTAGCAAACACCTTAGGAAGTCCTAGACGTCCACAAACTTAGGACATTCATCAAAGCGCAGTGATGCAGGCGGCAATGCCAGTCAAGCATTCATATAACATTTTATGCGCATCTCGTATGTTGGGATAAACAGATCAGTCACAACATAACGCGCTCTGGCACGCATTCATGGCTGCGAGAACAAGCTGAACTAATCAAGAATACTGCAAGAAACGAAGATTCGGATTTTTTGGTATAATCTATAGAGCGCAGATGATTCTGCAGCACCGCGCTCTCGCCTGTCAGCCGAAAGTGACAGGAGACCTTTCACAGCCCTACTGCCGCAAACCCCCTTCTCCCCGCAGCAGGAATATCAGAAACCGACGAAGATGCGTCAGAGTACCGACAATGGCCAGGCCACTCAGTACCAACAACAACACATACAAAACTTTCCCAAAACACCTTGTTATACATTTCAATAAACATCCACAACTGCTAAGCCACCTGCTACAGAAAGGACAACTTCGCGCCAAATAATTTAGCCAAAAAAAAAGAATTTAAAAAAATCACCTGGTAGTGCTTTCCTAGAAACTCCTTGCATCACCACTTCTAAGAACCCCAGTTCTAAGAATCAGAAGAGCTCAATTCTCGGAATTTGAGCGTACGACTGTACCATTTTTGGAGGACAGGGGAGGACAATGCTTTGCACAGTTTCGTTATAAGGACATGCAGGGAAAATGTTTTTTGGAAGCCATCAAACATTCTGACATTTGATTCAAATGTAAGCGAAATATTTCGAAATTTATTGAGTAACAGAGCTGTATTATTGGTAAAGTTGGGTAAAACTTATCGGTCTTAACATGAAGTTCTCCCTTTCTTTTGGACGCTTCCAAAACAGACGGTCACATGAATGGTCTACGTAGACCTTGACTTTAGCCCAGCCTCTAAATTCTCAGAACTAATTTGCTATTCCGTGACATAAGCATAGCGGCTTTGAATTGCTTATCCTTGTTCTTAACCCACAGATTCAGCATATACAGAACATTTCTAGAGTGGTTATTCCCTGGGACACACGTACTCGTTTATTCTTATTTTTTTCCCTGATTGCTTTTTCGGTTTTCTAGACAAAGGTATGTCTGTCTGTATGATCATGCGCTTTATTTCTTCCTCCGTAATCATCGTGGACACAGAGTTCAACATGACGTTCGTGTGCGAAGGAATTATTTATTTGTTGAAAGGCATTGCTTGAGAGCTTGTGTTTCAATAGGGAAGTTGGTTGATGCGTGGCTGTATGCACATGGCTGTGGCGTGTGGCCTGATCGCGAGTTGCCGATGGGCGCTTCTTGCTCTGACTATCCCGTAAGGTTCACGTGTGTCAGAATGTTTCATTTTTCGCTAATTGGTAACGGGTGGAAAATGGTGTTATCGTAGCGTTCTATGGTCCAAGACCTTGCAAACGTTTAATTGAAAATGATCCGATTTATATAGTAAAATATATCTAAATAGTTTTGCATTTCAGACTTTATTATATAAAACCAATTCCATGAAATTGTGGGATGATTTTTTTTTTTTAATCGGTTTATTCCCACCAAGGGGAAATATGAAAAGCTCCGTTATTATTTGTTGCAACACACACCAGTCGGGCGTGAATAGACACCAAGTTTCTGCAACAGATATTGGTAAAAACCACATACAGAACGCTCCGACAGTATGAGAATAAGCCTTATTTGAGGAGTACCTCTTAAAACATTTTTTATTGCTCATTACTGTGCAATGCAATAAGCAATGTGATCCTACTTTACGGATACTTTTAAAATCACGGTATTACATTACTAATTTCCATTTACTTACTAAAATGTTCTTGCCTGTGCTAAATCCATAGCTTAAATTCTTTTTAGTTCCGGAAATGGTCTGTAGGTTTTCTGAGAATAATGAATTGGTTTCTGAATCACTCTTTTTACCATCTATGAAAAATGACGTATTCCAGGAAGTGTATTGTCAGTTCCTAAATAGGATAGTCAGTGCATCCCTCTTATATTTACCGGAATTGGGTGTAATAGTCATATGAGTTTTAATAGGAGTTTTAACAGGGATTTGGTAAAAACCTATATAATACCTGAAGTTTACAGGTAACGAGAGCGTTTTCAAATCATATTTGTCCTGGGATGCTTTTATGTTATGTTTACTCTGTCCATGTAACGTCATAGATTTTACACAGTACGAACTAGGACAGTCATTTCGTGTTTTTCGTGGGCCATAGCGGTAATGTTTGCCCATGAAGACTGTAAACAATGCCGAGTTGCTAAAAAGATTAGTTGTCTATTAATAAATTTAAGCGCTTGTTGACGTCCTTGGGCACTTTCTCCAAGATATTAACCTTTTGAAACTGAACCAGGAAAATGTGCAAAACAAGACATTGATGACAAGATCATTTTCATCATCAAGTTTAATTTACTAGGCCTATGCTATTTCTGGTTTAAGATTTAGAACATGTTAAGATTTTTTTTTAGTGTGTGTTTCTTTTTTTCTCTCTTTCTTGAATTTCATTTCCTTGTCACCAGGCCCATAATGGTTATGTTATGCTTTTGTGAAGACATTAAGTTTTTTTTCATTCCGTGTTTAATGTGTACTGTTGTATCCAATAGTTAAATTTTGAACTGCGACATGTATGAAGAACACGAAACAAATAAAGGATTTACTACGATTTTAATGAGTTGATTTTTCTTCGCAAGGTTTTTTTTTTTTTACTTATTTAGGCTTTGCTCTCAGGAAGCACACATGGGTTGTTTGCATTATAAACATCTGGGCTCGCAGTCAGATGTTAAGCGAGTTCCATTGCATTTCCCGTCGTGAGTCATGTGGATCATGAATCAGATCTCTGCTTTCGAGTTTCCAGGTTCAACAGCACAATACTATATTATACAAGTTTCGCTATGTCATTAATGATGAACTACATTATAATAAACTGTTGCCACCAGTATGTACACAGGCATTTATCCATGCTTTTACAATGCAGCTGCTAAAATACTCAGTATGGGAACGACACATTTAATACCACCACCATTCAATCGCTTGAGTCGTGTGATGCTACAGTTGGGGCGACTGTTCCAAAGAAGCGGGGGGGGGGGAGGGAAGAGGGATAATGGTTTATGTTCACTGCCAAGGCCCTTTCAGGCTTGCTCTGTCGCATAGCGTTGTTTCTATGCTTTCCCCCTGGTCTTATTGGGGTCGCCTGTCCACAGCAGTCGTAAAAAAAATGACCATGGGTCTAGTTGAAGTTTCAAAATTGCCTTTCCTGTCGGCACATGCTGTTGTTATTTATATAGGCTATTATCGTAATAAGAGTTGTCTAGGACTACGGTAATTTTTAAATATTTTTAGAAATTTTGAAAATGTTTGCTTAGAACCCTAGAACTTAACTGTACAGCTACAGACGTAAACCTGACGCTTAAATTCAATGTTGAGCGCGGTGGCAGGCTCAGGAATATATCGGGACAGCGAAATAAAGCGATCTGATTTAAGACGAGCGACACAGATTAAATAAACATGGTAAGGCATCAAAATATAGCCAGAGAATTGTGTTATACTATTATTAAAGGATTTTCAGGACAAGGACATGCTGGCTACGTTGCAGAAAAAATAACGGGATTTTTAAAAACCCTCTACACTGTGCACAATCTCTGTGGCGAACCACCTGTAAACTTGACTTTGAACCCGAACCCCATCTATTGGAGAGTCAGGCGCTTTCCCTAAAACAAGCAACTCCTGACTGCCTCTCGCTGGGAATCACTGTTGCACTATATTGCAATGTTTTCCTTTTATTTAAGCAACAGCTGAATGCTATGGAGCAACAGTGTGCGTCGTTTTCTCCCTTTTCTTCTGCCGCATCGAGCCTGAAGTTGCAAAACCGGAATGCTCCACTGTTGCTTTGTCAAAATAAGCAGTCTAGTAGGTGTCCTCGAAAACAAGTGGCTGTTGTGGCTTTCGCTGATAAATGTTTGACATGGGCACAGTTACCCGTTTACTATGCTGTGTCAGCTGTACGACAGCACGAGTGTGTGCATTCACGAATAACACCTATACATTAAGTCACACTAATGGACATTTCTTTCGGATAAGTTGTGATTGTCTAACAGCCTGCGTTTAACACAATTGCCGACTTATAAAGTGTTTTACATTTTGTCTCAAATTCGACTGAAAGCGTAACCATGTATTAAGTTTTCATTTTGTTACATGTTCTAACCTAGACATTTTTGGCACTGTTAATAAATTACATCCCTCCCCACAGGAAGGGATTATGACAATAATGCATATCACAAATAAAAGTCAGTAGGCCTACTTTAAATTTAATCTCCTCTAAGCTTTTATGTTCCGGTACAGGCAGGCATGAGATTGCTTAGGTATCATAAGAAGGTAAGGAGATGGGCCTGGATTATAAGTCTTTGGAGTGCCGTTCGCTTTATCTTCATGTGCTGATTCTCTGATCTGGCACCCTTCTTCTAGAGATGTACACCCGCATCTGGTTTGAAAAACATATCTGGATTTTTACTGTGTAGGCTGTTCTGCCTTTTTTCCCCTCCGTAAACAACCATTTCGCATTATTTTGATTTATTTTCAAATGCACATCAGCACCGCTGCCAGTCCTGGCATCCCATGCAGCACGGTCGCGCGCGACGCCCTGCGAATTCTCAGCTGGCATTTCCCCAGCGTCTTGTTTCCCAGTTTGCACTGGGCATTTGAGTTGTTTGGCACCCTGTCGTATGCAGTACCTGTAGCCTGCGGATGGTCAGCAGCTTGCCTAGCCTACAATACCAGTTTGCCCAGTACTACCAAACACTCCTTTCACAAACAAAGTATTCCATCGGTTTTCCTTTCAACTTCAAATCTCACCAGCCTAACCACGGACTGGCTTTTTTTTATTTTTAATTATCACATCGAGAACAATCTATTGAAATATATTTAAAAACCATGAAACTGCAGTGAGACCGCGTGACTTCTAGCGCTTCGACTGACAATTCCTAAAATTTACTGACACTCTGCTTATCTACGATAGATGTTTTTTTTTGTGGTTGTAAGCAGTGGGTTAAAGAAGGATAGCTTGTTTTATGTGTTGTTTAAAAAAAAAAAAAAAAAATTAGCACCTTTTTTTTTCCCGATGTCAAATCGAATTTTCCTTGTGAAAAAAAAATCTGATACGTTGCTGTATACGGTGGATTTTGCACTAAGGAATCCTCTGTGAAATTGTTTGCTGTGTCACCCGGCGCGTTATCCTTTGAGTCATCTCCTCTGTCATTCGTCACTCTGCTCACCACCTGCCTCTCCTGCCTGCACCTTCTCTACTCGGTGCTGGAGCCCGACAACACTCAGCCTTCACAGATGACCTGCTGTTATTTGTCTGATCTCCATCCTGACCAGACTGAGCATTCGGCCACTGCAGATATGTGAAATGTCAATGTTAAAATAAAATTTCGCGGTCGAAATGATAATTAAAATTAGGCACTGCAGATTTGTGAAATGTTAAGGTTAAAATTAAATTTCGCAGTTGAAATTAA